TTAGCTTATAAAATTACAGTTAAACGATAGATAGCTTCTAAAACCAATATTGTAAAAACTAATACTGCAATTTTTGATCTAATTTCCAACGGAAATATAAATACGCAACTCAAATATTGTTATATAATCGCAGTAGTCTGGAAATAACACACTGATTTGTATTATACTAAAGGTTCATAGCTTTCTACAGCAATTTAACTACTTCTCCATACCTAAAGATTCATAGATTCATAAATTAAGAAAAGTCTTTGTATTTTATATAATATGTAAGCTGGTTATTTGAGACCTTTTCAACTATCTACCGAAATTAGTTATAAGAATTTAAATTAGAATGTACTTTCTTCGAAGTGGATCGAGCAGAGTTTGGCAGAACTTGGATCAAACCTTGTGGTATGTTATGTTAAAAGTCGTACAGAAGATCACTAATATCCCCTTGTAAAATTTAAACATCACTGCCTGTGAGACCAAACACTCCTTGAGTTGAACGATAACACCTTCATGACAGAACACTGCATTCCGGCCTATAGCGGGAGTCGTAACCATGCTCTACAAACTCCCTTACACCTCTCTTTTATTATTTTTCAGACCTTACCTAATTTCTTGCTATAGATCGCACTACATTTGCGCTTTTTAAGAACACTGCATTCCGGACTATAACGGGATACCTCTTGATGTTCTCTATCGAACATCTGCAAAGCCAGGCACGTAGCAGTACCTGCAGTCACTTGCTTGGAGCGGAACCGCCTCCGAGGAGCATCAAGAGGGCCTTCCTCAACTACGTCAATGGCATTGGACAATTCACAGTGGAGTCGTAAACACCCTCACCGACTCACTCTCAGTGAATTGCGTACTTGGAGTCAAACCATCACCCATTGCAGACGACGAGCTCGAGTTACCGCGAGAATCGAGAGTGACCGTTGCGCTGCTTCGTTCTGGATACTGTATCAGATGAAATCCCTACTTATCTAAAATCAAACCATATATATCAAATATATGTTCAGCATGACAACTTGGGGCATGACTATCTGCATGACACTAACCACCTTTGCATGCGCAGCTAACCCTATTCACCCCTCTCCCTATGGTCTGACCCCGTCGAAACAGCACGTTTTTTGGGCCTACTGTTGGATGACCTCAATGACAACTCATCTGAACCTTACCATCCTGACGGGAACTACATAACCGACCTTCATGTGTCGACGAAGAATTTAACTACCTATTACAAATCTATTGAGGCGGCTATTTTTGATTCCCAGCTAATACGCCTGGGCGAGAAGAATGTTACAAAATATATGAACATATCTTAGTCGCCTTTTGCTATATCATGGTATCCTTCAGCCCTTTCTTTAGTTTCCTCTTCGCTTGTCAAATCAATAGCTGTTCTATGTAAATTAAAGTAATCAGATAGCACGTGACAAAATTTCTACTGGATTAACAGCAACTTAAGTCCAATTTACTGAGCCCATACCCACAACCGAACAGGAAATGATTTATGCGTTTACTGCAAGCGGTGAAAGGAGCAAAAAGCAATTGCCTCTTTGACAATGATTTACATGCATAGTCTGGAATGCGTTAGGCTACTTATTTGTTATTTATATAATACAAGGTGTAGTATGGGAATCCTTACAGCAAGGTATGAGCTGCTGTTGATGTGGTGTAGCCACTTATATTGGCTCTACTTACTAAATGAGTCCTGTCTAAGCCACACAATTTGGCGATGAATCAGACAGCTGCTCGTTTGTAAGTCAACACTGGTTAGAGAGCTGCCTGGCGACTATGCATATAGAGGTAGACGAATGTAACATTTTAGAATCCTGCCTGCTTATTTATAGAATGTATTGTTGTTATTGTTTATGCAGTTAACAACAAAAGCCTGCATGTTGCACAAATTGGTTTTGGCTCTACACTAAAGCTATTGAAATATGGTACATACAAACACTGAAATATCATAGTTTTAGTCCTTTGACAGGTTAGGCTACTCGGTCGCACAGTTCACAGAATGAGATGATGTATTATATGCTCTGAAAGACAAAGCAGTATGTGCGTCGAGCGCCGCTCATTAACCATGCAAGAGTCAAGATTCGAAGCAGTAAACAGTGAGTTTTTCATTGGCAGGAGCAAAAGGTCAAGGTAAATAGGTAACAATAGACGATTATACTCTAAAGTCGTATGCTGAAATGAAGCATGACAGACTTACTAATATTTCAACTTATTTTCTAAGTCACTGAATTCTTTTCCTAAAAAGTTTTTCTACTTCCGCTAGTCGCCCATCATTCTTTGATGTAACCGACCTCATCTTCATTTGTATGTATATAACTTCTTTCGATGCTTTCACTGATTTTTTAACAAGAACGCGTTTTCTGTTTATCTTCAGGAATTTCAGCAATGCATAATTTCTACTTGTTCACACTTTCAAAATATATTTTGAAGTTCCTTCAACTTATCTGAGAGTCGTCCGCCTTGTAGTGTTCAAACCTGAAAGCGTACCAGATACTAAAGACTTTGGAAACTTCTGAAAATTTCTTTGCTTTATCGGTGTATTTAGTTAAATAGTTCATTTAGTCGTCTTCAAGAGTCTGTCATCCAAGACTGTTTGACAGTTTCATTGGGGTATGTTATTCTTTGCGGTTCCCCAACCCAGCGCACAACTCCAACGGATGTTTTTCGGCTACCCAGAGGAATCCTGGTTTAAGGCCGAAAGTCGTGACTTGCTTGAGCCATATGTAAAAAAAATATTTTCTGAACACTCCCAAGTGAATGGCACTCAGAGAAATTTCCTCACTTACGTGAACTTCTACACATGGCTCCATCTTTCATTTACTACTTACTTTCCAGGAAATGAGAAATTTTGGCGACCGGTGGGGCAATTTTTTTCCATGTTATCCAAGTCCTTCCATTACAAATAAATGTTTGGAAATTTAGTCGCAACGAGGTAATTTTTCGATTCATGGCTTCACACAAGCTTGGAATATAGTTCCTTAACAACCGAGTTTCATTATTGGTAGACCAATTATTCAAATAAAAACTCGATATTTGGTTACCCAAAGTGCAGGTTGCAGCGCTACCGGATTCACTCCGTATTTGGTTCATGGACTCTGAAATATGCCTTGATATCATAAGACATGGAACTCTTAAACAAGTTTAAACGAAATCAAAAGCTCTCATGGTAAGCGATCAATGCGAAATCGAAGGTCATCAGAGGAGAACGTTGGGTCCACTACATGCCAATATAAATATTTGGAAGCCCACTTGTTATCTCATTAGTGCATTCCAGCTTTTGAGGAGTAAATAAATAAAGTTCGATACTAAAATATTACTTAGAGAGCTAGGAGACTTGGATATCGGTCATTCCAAGTGAACTTGTGATAATCACTGTAGAATTCAAACTGCTCTCAATAAACTCCAATTTGTTGCTAGAGCATGAAACGCACACACAACTAATCTGATTTGATATTTAATGAATGCTTCATCAAGCAATCTCCCTGAAGTTCAATGCTCTTGAAGTCTAAAACAAAGCAAAAGCTCACCACAAAGAAGAACAAAAAACAGATATGACTTAAATGAGTAAGAAAATCAAAACAAGGAAGGACAACTTATGTATCTAACACAGTGTGACGTTTACGTGTCTCAGCATTGCGCCAAGCGGACGCAGCTTCCAGCGCCAATTATTAAAACTGGCGCGACAACTTGGCGGCAGACACCCAGCCATCAGCGGCCATAATCCGGCTGGGAGATTCTGCACTCGACTGCTAAATCGGCTAGTCTCCAGGCTTGAAATACATACATCAAGCACGATAAACGCAAATACCCGTACAAGACGAGTTTGTCTATGTGTGCAAGGGCAATAAGGATATGTTGTCAATCGGGTGCAGACTGGCGCCGCCTATTGCAGCAGCATCTGTCGCTTTAACGAGTATGCGACGCTTCTACAACGTGACGCGGCTAACAATTGCTCGCTTTGGCTCACGCTTGGGGGAACGCGTCAGTCAACTCTAGGTCTGTTATTGTTGTTTTTAGCTGATAACTTATACTTAGTGGTGGAAACCGGCGTATGGTTACGTGTGGCACGCAGACGATATGCAACAATTGGATATTAGAATAGACGATGACGACATCGTCAGTCTTGTAGTCACTATTCATGGCAGACACGATTTACCAGCAAACACATGAGGTCAAATTATGCGGCTGCTTTGTTTTCGCAGGACAGCGCCACGTTCATTGCACTCAACGGCATGAAGAATTGTCTGAACGTGTTGCACGAGATTGCAAAGATTAATTTGAGTTATTTCTAATTTAAAAGCGTTTTTCAGCTTTATTAAGTTGGAGAGATTATTTCGTAAGTAGACAGAAAAGCTTCAGTCACCTTTCCAACGGTTTTAGTTTCAGACCCGACAACCAGATTTTCGGCCGATGTTCCATGAACCACTCTACCGATGGCTTAAAGCTTCAAACTAAGTTTCAGTTTTCCGAGGAAACTACTACATATTTCTTTAACAATATGCCACCTATTCGATTGTGCATGGACGCTTAAAAATGCGAAAAGTTGTAAATTAATGAACGCCTAGTGATCAAGACTGAGCGGAGAAAGCATAAACTAATAGCGTGAACTCAGTTTCAGTTCAAAACAAAATCCTAGTCATTGGCTGCTCCTAACGTTAGAAATTCTGAAACCTGCTGGCCCAAGTATTTACCAGTCAAAAAAGGTTGAAGATACAGCACCGTTTCAAGTTAAACATATCACAGCTAAACAACACAAGCTCTAGGCTTGAAAGCTAGAGCCTTCACTAGCTGCGAATATGTTGTTTAAATTTCGATTTTAATTTTTTTTTTTTTTTGCTATTTTTCCACTCTACTTGTAGGTGTTCTAGAATGATATGATGACATGAGATGAGAAAATCAAGCGATTGCAATATTTATTGCCGCATTCATCAGCTTCGAACGATTTGTGTCGGAGTTATTTGTAACCTTCTCGTGAAAATATCCGACATTAACTGCAAGGCTTGTGGTTACAATTTTTTATTTCGTATACATTTCTTTATGAATACACCAACATTATAATTAGTATATTCAATCAAATCTACTCTTTGACATTTTAATTTGAGCGTAGTATTGACCCGCATAGCTTGCTCATGGTGCATCTGTTGTTGGATCATCAGTGGTTGGCGCATCAGTAGTTGATGCATCGGTTACTGGTTCTTCAGTTGTTTTCATCTCAGTTGTTGTTGTTGTCATTGGGTTCAACCTATCAGTAATTAGATTGATAGCAGTTTTGCTGATTACGGATTCAAGGAAGGAACGATCGCAGTCGACGCCATCTTCACATTTTTCAGGCAAAAGATCTTTGGCAACTTTTGTGGCTATATTGGAGACCAAGGTTGACGCTTTATCCATCACAGTTGCATGAATTGAGTCCACAATACTTCTTATTGTATCTGTTGCTGATTCGATAATGCCTTGAAATTGTTCTCGTATAAAAGGTCTACAGCTGACACTTTGTATTTCGCCATTGAAAAATACGGCTGGAAAGAGAATATGTGAAATTGTTGGCTGTTTATATAAGTTAAACAAAAAAACACGGTCAAGTGAATCGAGTTTTCAGCACCTTCATTTTGCTGGAACAAATATATCACAAAACGTTAGGAAAAAAAAAAAAATTTTTGAAAATTTTGCTGGAACAAATATATCACAAAACGTTAGGAAAAAAAAAATTTTTTTGAAAAAAAAAATTTCCTGTACTCAACTAGCTGATCAACCAAGGAAGGCATAGCCGAGCCTAAAGACAGCTAGAAGACATCCAATCTATTAATCTTGCATGCAAAAAACGAAACATTCACCTTTACTACTGAAGCAAACACATTATCTTAAGTACACATCGGTAGTTTCAGCAGATAACCTCAATAGATATGACAAACCGCCAGCTCCAATTGAAGAAAATAGTGGTTTTCTTTGCTTTAATGATTTATTATATTACTAAGAGCTATTTGCGTTCCTCAAAAAGGAATTAAAACTAATTTTATAAGTTCGGAATCTCCCACTCTTTTCCTTCATAGTTTGTGTCGTAGATACTCCATCGCGGTTCAATTTTTACCTTAAAATGAATTATTTCTTTTTAAATCCCCACTATCCGTACCAACACTCATAGCAAACAGACTGGTACTAGAAAAACACCATCACAAACTCCCTTATCTTAAAGCATTTTCAACACTGTACTAATTCTTAAGAGCATCAGTTCGAGGAATGCTTAAAATCGCTTTTGAAATGCTAAAAAACCCGCAGTACCTACCGCACAAAACCAGCGACACGAATTTGGTTTTCGAGAGCATTTTCCGGCAATCAACGCTTTTAAACACTAACCGATACTACCTAAAGAAGCCACTTCCTCAAGGGCTTTTATAACCCGAATAATTGAGCTAGATTTCTGATGCTGTTTCAGAGAGCTGATCTTTGAACACCACCTAGTTTGGTGAAATCAGTCTACTTTACTTCGCAAGTTGACGATGCTGTGCTCAGAAGTGGAATTTTGTCAGAAAGGAACTTACTCAATCTCTCAAAAATTCTCTGGAAAACTGTACCTATATAATTCTAACAATAGCAATTCATAAGTGATTGGTATCTATTGTTAACTCATGAACGTGTAGACGCATAGCTTAAAATTGAACTTGATGACAGTAAAATTTTCAAACTTTAGATAGCTGTAAAATAAATCAAAGGAAACCTGGAAGGAATTTTTATGCCCGCATAGCACTTTGAAAGAGTACAGATACTTGTATAAATTTTCGGTTGCTTGAAAGTGGTTGCACTGAATTGGCTAAATGTACGCTTAGCGCGGCTACTAAAACCTGCCCGAAATGAAAATGCTATTGGAATTAGGGAGAATGTTGATTAGAACAAGCAAAGTTCTGGACATAACGATATTCTGAATCAGTACGTATATCAAACATATCTAAATAAATCAGATTGTTTTCTCCCAAAGTTGGATTTCAATAGTTCTTTCATGGTATGCATTCCCTCAAGATGTGAATGGAGATTCGGTTTAGTAGGAGATGATCGAGAACAACGGGTCCAAAATAGGTTGCGGAATAGTGGCGGAGGTATACTCTGTGGACTTCGTTATACCTCTTGCTCTATTCGTCTACCAAACTCAGCTAGTATCTTCCAAGCGGTAAAAGAACTATAGACAGACAGAGAGGCGGCATTGTTAGATTTTACGCCAAAAACTAATTCCTGCGTAGTCAACAGATGTGCGTTGCTGACAGTTCAGATATATACATATGCAGGTTTAATTGGGTGTGCGAAGAGGCGGTTGGAGTATGCGGGAACTCGTTGCCAGAATAAAACTGCGTAAGGGACACTCTCGACTCTCGCTGCAACTCGAGCTCATAGTCTGCAATTAGATCTCCTGTGACTAGGCCATAAATAAAGATATTAAAGCGAAATTTGGCGCAAAGGAACGCATTAGGGAGGGGCATATTTGGACATAATTTTTTTTGGAAAAGTGGGCGTGGCCCCGCCCCCTACTAAATTTTTTATATATATCTCGGAAACTACTATAGCTATGTCAACCAAAGTCTACAGAGTTGTTTCATTCAGGCATTTTCATATACAGTTCAAAAATGGAAGAAATCGGATAATAACCACGCGCACCTCCCATACAAAGGTTATGTGGAAAATCACTAAAAGTGCGTTAACCGACTACCAAAAAAGGTCAGAAACACTAAATTTTACGGAAGAAATATCAGAAAGAAGCTGCACCCAGCTTTTTTTAAAAATTGAAAATGGGCGTGGCGTCGCCCACTTATGGACCAAAAACCATATCTCAGGAACCACTCGACCGATTTCAATGAAATTCGGTATGTAATAGTTTCTTAACACTCTGATGACATGTACGAAATATGGGTGAACTCGGTTCACAACCACGCATTCTTCCAATATAAAATTATTTTGAATTCCATCTGATGCCTCCTCTGTATAATATATATACATTAGGAACCAATGATGATAGCGGAATAAAATTTTACACAAATACGGTATTTGAGCTGAGGTATCCCTTTTGGAAACTATAACTTTTCAAGGTTCCTGATATCGATCACGAAGAACTCAGTGGTTAACCTAATTTTCCACCCAAAATATCAGTAAATCAATACAGTTAAAATAAATGAAAATACGATTCAATACTCAAAGTACACAAATTGGTCTAATCTAATGAATTTTACAGCAAAATAAAAAAATATGTAAATGACGGATAATGAAATCTCGATTATCACTTTATCATGCGAGAGTATAAAATGTTCGGTGACACCCGAACTTAGCCCTTCCTTACTTTCCTTTTCTGTCTTGCTGTTTTCTGAAACTGAATATGGTAGTCGAGAATTATATTTACGTTTTTAAGCTTCGTAAATATAATAAGAGAGTGGTGGATCATAATGGAAAAGTTATGGATGGACGTAAAGAAGACCAGCGAGTATGTAGGCAATGGTTTGGTAGTTATTTCAACAGTGTCGTCGTAGTGATTACCAAAATTTGGTAGTGTGTTTTGCCTTTATAGTTTCGGAATTTCAATTTGATTATGACTGCAAAGCTTTTCCGAACTGGGGAGGTTTAGGCAAAACCCTGCAGAATCCAAATACTGAAAAACTTCAAAACTGCCGACAACGTTGGTCGAATAATAAATTACAGCAAAAAAAAAATAAATAAAATAAAATTGAATGAACATGTTCATGCTCTGTCAAGTTTTATTTATCCTAGCAACCACCACCCATTGCCATAGTAATTCTGTTTGTTATCAAGATAATCTAAATAATCCTGCACATGTTTAGGGCGAATATATTTCTTTGTCGTACTTTCAGAATTATCTGTTTCTTTTGCTGTTTCTGAACTTTCTTCGGGCTTTGTCGTTGCAATCTCAGAGCTGTCATTCTTATTTTCATTACTTTTCTCCTTATCTTTTTCCGTCGGATTATTTATCACAATTTTAAAAAGCTCATTCTCATTTCCATCAGCAGCTAGTTTAACACTAAGTAAGCTTGTGATAAGTTCTTTAACAAAATCCGATCCTATAACTAATGTTGTTTGTGGTTGATTTACTACTACTGAGATAGGATCCGACGCACTCGCTGGTTGTTCAAGCTCCCTTCCACTAACTCCTGACATATTGCTGGCAAGCAGTAGAACTGAAATCAAAGAATTTAGAAAGCAAATTTATAATAAGTCTAGTGGTTTTTTGGTGGTAATGGATAATATTCTGTAAAACATTCCTTATGCCTAGTGTCACCTTGAAAGACATTTAGTACTACATGAACGCTGATAACTTGCTTGGTGTTTAAGCTTGTTGTACTAGGACGATCTAAGCATCAGTTTACAGTTCTTGTAAAACTTGTTCTCTTCATTTTACTTCATACTAACTAGAGGAACAATGTAATTTTTACCTCTATACAACCATCCATCCTATTAGTTGCCTTTTATGTTTCTAATTCATATCAGTAAATTGTTCTACTCACCGACAATAGTCAAAAGCAAGCATATTGATCCCGGTAACATCTTTGCCATTTCGTTAGTAGATATCACGGATGTCTGACATTCACAAGTTGACCGGCATACGTTATCAAGTGGACTAATTTGTGAAGAAAATTTTAAGAATACCTAAGTGTTGGAAGAGTTTTCACTCGTATAATTGAGTTTTGTTTTCACAATACCAAATCATAAATGCTCTGCGTCAATTTTTAACTCAAGAAACGTGTAGTCGCATACTGTTTGGTCTAAATTGAGATGTAATGCCTGCCAAAACTGTTTAGTTAAGAATTTGAAAAAGTAAATATGTATACCTCTATATATTTTCTGTTCACAACATATTGGCGTCGCATCGAGCGATGATTTCTCTGGTCTTATCACATCCAATTCCCTCTCTGGCATCCTCGCCGGGCACACTGGAAACGTGAGTAACCCTTGTGAAAGATGCGGAAGCCAACCCGTGAGGAACCTGGGGTTACGGCTAAAAGAGAGGAGAGATTTAAGGGTTCACTGAAATCTAATAGCGGGCAACGGTCATGAAGCGAGAGGCTCTCTATATAAATGTCTTTGGCACCCACCACGTAGAAACCACTCCCAATGAAAAGGAAACAACGGCAAACGTAATAAGGCTACAGTTTAAGGGCTTCCACCTGGAATGTCCGGTTCCCAAATTGGCAAGGTGCCGATGCCCATCTGGTTGAGGTCCACGTAAAAGTACAGACTGACATCACCAAAGTTCAAGAAATGCGATGGACGAGGCTAATACATCCTTATGACGTGTACTACAGCGGCCATATAAAGAAGCGCAAACTCGGTGTGGGATTCGTGGTGAGAGAAAGACTCATTTGTCGAATAGTGGAATCCATTTCGATCGATGTGCGTCTAGCCACAATACGCATCAGAACAATATTTTTCAACAGGCCTCTGGCCCAAAAAAAAGGACGATATGACCATAGATGCCATTCATGACGATGTAAAACTTTTGCTTGGGGATTTTAACACCAGGGTGCGCAAAGATGTTACCTTTGGTACAACAGACGGAAAATTCAGTCTTCAAATGGGTTGAGGCAGACCGACTTCGTATGGTTCCGAAATAGGGTTATCTGTAGTACTAGATTCCATCAATAAAAAATATATCAAGCTACTTGGAGGCCTCCGGATTAAAAAATTCCTAACCAGATCGATCATTTTGTGATGGACAGACGACAGGTCTCCAGTGTTTTAGATGTGGGTATGCTCCCAGGACATAACATGAGCTCGAACCACCATTTTGTGGTAGCGAAGACACGCACCCGCCCCTGCTCAGCAAAGCACGACCACCAACGAACACAGGGAAGCTACGACAACCGACAGCGAAACGGTTTTCTACTCGACTTGCACTCCTGGTCTCTGAGAGCACTCATCAGCAACTCGATATAAAAGAACTGTATGACGGCATTTCAAGGTCATGCAAGCAAAAGTACGATGAGGACTGTCAGGTCGTAGTGGAGAAAAAGTAGACACCTCGTAATATTGCGGTCGACCACAACGCTAGCGGAGTGGGATAGATGCTGAGAATTGAAAAGAGAAGCGACACGCATATGCAGGCAAAGCAAAAAGAAAGTGACCGAAATTGGGGAGTTTGAGAAAATTGCTGGCAGAGGTAATCGAAAAATCATACTGAAGTTGTGGAGTTGTGGAATACTTCTCCAGCCTTACATCTGGAAATGGCGAACCCGATTCCCCAACCGATGACGATGGAACAGATGTTCCATTGACCTACTATAATGAGGTTGGAATAGGAATCACCCGCTTGAAGAACAAAAAAGCAGCAGGGACCGATGAATTACCGGCCGGGCTATTCGAATATGGCAGCGAAGAACTGATAAGGTGCATGCATTAGCTTCTTTACAAGATATCGTCGGATGAAAGCATACGCGACTGAAGTCCACCGTCAAAAAACTCATTTGACTCTATCAGTGTTTCTTTAAACCTGTAAAATTTACTAGCGACCAGAATAAGAAGGACTTACTTACCAATAAACTCAAGGGCTTTAAGGTTTTAGTTTTTTGAACAAATCCCATAAAGATTACGAATGGATTAGCGAGTGATATCAATGCTTAAATTAAAGACTTATAAATTATCGACAAGCACGCTTCATTAGCCAGAAACTGAGGATCTTCAGAAATTCCGACCAGCTTCACTGAATCTATAATATATGTGACCTGGTCTACGAAAAGGGAGCTAACGTGCGAAAACTAGTTTTCTGGGAAACAGCTGTTAAAAATAAACAACTCGTTTCGTCAGTTTCTCGTTATCTCATTAATTGTTCTCCTTTCCAGAGGCTTCAAGGACGTTCAGTAAGTATTGTTTTTGTTCGGAATACTATTATAGTTCATTGTGTAAGTTGCTAGTGTGGAATTTAAAAAATTAACACTGAAGAAGTGACGTTTACTCTAATAACGCGCAGCTGCTGTTGTCTTGTTTTCATTCTTTCTCTACATTTTTAGGGAACTTTCAAACAAGTTATGACTTTTTGGATTCTATCACGTGAAAAAGCATCTCATCTTCCATCCGAATCAACTAAAAATTGAAAATTGATTTTTTGGATTTTTTGACACCTAAGCCCCCTTTCCGTAGACCAGGTCACATATATGTATATCGAAAAAACTTAAATTTCGGCTGAACACACGTGAACAGCTGAACCAACTTTGCCACGAAGTTTGATCTGGTTTTCAATGAGGCAATACTTATATCGGAGTTAGAATTTTTGACAGTTTTTACKTTTACTATTTTTTTGTTAAATTTATTTATTTACATTAGTTTTCTGAACGAGGTATCGTCTTGAAGTTTTCGCGAAAGCGAAACAGAATAAGCACTATCGCTAAGATAACTCGAATCTGCAGAATCACTAACGCTAAAATAACTCGATTCTGCAGAATCACTAACGCCAAAATAACTCGAATCTGCAGAATCACTAACGCTAAGATAACTCGAATCTACAGAATCACTAAAGCTAAAATAACTCGAATCTGCAGAATCACTAACGCTAAAATAACTCGAATCTGAAGAATCAATGTTAATGTTATAACTAACTTCTGAAGAAGTATCCTTTGTTATCGTGTCAACAGGAGCGCTATTTATGATAACTTCACCATTATCGGTAACATTTAGCTCAGTTTGAGTATTTAAAGTAATATTAGCAGAAAGCTTTCCATCTTTCGATTTAAAAAATACCACAGTTTCTGCTAGAGCAGTAGCTCTTTCGTAACCTTCCTGGATCAATCGATCCGATGGGTCATCTGTTTGAACTTCAATTGCATTTGCGCTAACTGTTAACATACTCGTTAAGCCGGCAAAGAATAGAGCTGAAACGAAGAAACATAATTTATTTGTTAGCATAATGTTAGTAATGAGAAGCTATTGAGCTACTACTCCTTAATCTCAGGTTTATTCTTCGATCACTTAGCAGTAGCTTTTGTTCCGTAACTTAATTAAGACCACACCAAAACTCGACATCAATACCACAAACACTTCTTATTAAACCTGGTACTCTATCCTATCCCTCTTTTATTGAGTACCAACCAGCAGTTATTTTAAGCAATATTTATCGACACGTCGATGTTCTTCTTAACGTAATGGTAAGGTAGCTATAAAAATTTGTACTCACCGCCAATCGTCAGACAAAAACTTTTGCGCCCCAGTGACATTTTATTTTTTACATTTAGCAGCAACCTCTGCAAATGATGATGACCCAGTTAGATAAACTGTTAAGCACTTTTTTCAGTACAATTATTGCGCTGATCTCAAGTAAACTGATTGTTGAAGGAAAGTAGACGCAGAAAGTCTTCAAGTTTTTGGTCGTTCAATTCTTAATGCTCATAAATTAAGCTTTCTGCAATTCATAAATGTTTTGCGTTTATTGTTAACTGCAGAAACGTGTAGTCGCATATTGTTTAATTTAAAAAAGGAATTTTAACTGTTTGATCGTAAAATGATACAAAAGAAACCGGTTCTAAATAGATCATAATCAAATCCGACGTCAAATTTATTATTATCGCATTTCCATTTGAAAGAGTAAAGGAACATCTAAAAAACAGATGCTTAGTTTATCTTAAGAAGTCTATGTTAACAGGGATTGCACTTGGACAGCTTAGAACGCCAATACATTGTGGTACTTAGAACGCCTGTATAATAACTCATAAGACTCTTGCACATCGACAACACGCTTTGAGCCTATGACAACTTTGTTAGGACGGCTAATGTGAGTTGAGTTCCGGCTATGTGTTCTGGATCACTGAGGGCAAAACTGCCGAAATGTTTAACCTCGGAAGCCGTTCGTACGTGTTTTCACTATAGCCTCCTCCATATAACTATAACAACTGGTGTCCGATAATATTTTAGACTTACTCTATGATTGCCAATTGGACAAAGTCCAGTAACTCATCTTCCTGAGAAATCGTTTTCAGCGATTCCACTATAAGCTGACACCAAAACAAGTCTCATGCTGAAGTAACTTGATGCTATTGTTGTAGAGGCTTTTCGGTGGTCTAAGCGGCTTTTTGTGTTGCTTTCTGTTGGCTATGTTAAGTGCCGTGTATACCTGTAGTTAATCTCATCTACTTATTGCTGTTTTTTGAATGTCATGTGAAGGGCAAAATTGTCTTCCAATTACAATAGAGGCTTGACAGCAGCTCTTGCAGTCTGCTACAAATATTAATGTGGCATCTTGCTTTCATGGCTCCTGAATTTCAATTTGTGTTAGCATTGTTTTCCCAGACTTGAAAGGGTGTTCTGACTGAATCTCTTAAAGTTATTGTAGTAGACCTGTGGTACTAAGGAAGAAGGTGAAATTAAGCATAAATATAAGATTCTTATTGCATATCGATCAATCTGGAGGAGTTGTTGTTTTATTTGACTAAAGGTATGCGCTCTCAAGTGTGTTGACCTCCCAAACAAGGGACAATCAAGGAGTAAGAGAGTTGTTTCTAACTCATCTTCTTTCATACAGATTATGTAGATGTCCCTAATAGAATTTCCAAACCTCACTTCCAAAATGGCAATGTGCTGTTAAAAGCCTCACAACTGGACATGGACTTACGGAGTGCAAAAAGATCAATTAATTATTCCGATCGATCTTGGGTCAAAGGATTCTGCGAAGCCCTGCTTTATACTACCGACCTACTTCCATTCTTCCGATAGCGGTTCTAGGGTGCCTTTTCTTGCTAGCTCATCAGCTTTGCAATTTCCCGCGATTACGCTGTGGCCTAGCACCCATAGCAGCCTTATCACAAAGACACTCGATGCTATTGATAGCGAGGATAGGCACTCCTTGACCAGCCCTGAACGCTATCTGGCTGGATGGTCACTTCTCTAAAGGAGGCTGCACTCCAGAGCCGTAAATCTACTGCTACTTTAATGTCTGCAACCTGAGCTTGGAAAACACTGTAATAGTCAAGAAGTCTGAAGCTGCTGATGATAGAGAGCTCCTGACAGTAAATTAAGCTTTGACCCCCCTGAAAAGAAGATCATTGCCTCTCTCCTACAACGGCTTCTTTCCACCCACAACTCCCTCGCCGATATGTGGGTAGAGAAGAAGCCAGCAAAGTTCGGTAAAGCAACTCCATGATCCAAGTGTTTCGATATGAAGTCGAAGTGAGAAAGGATTTCTTATTGTGATAGCCACTTTCGCATCCATACACCTTCCGACGATGTCTACGAGCAATATGTGAAAGATGGCGTTAAGTTCCATGGTTGGAGTGGGCCTTACTGCACCACACATACTGATGAGCACCGCTCGTTGAACGCTCTCGAGTTTCTTTGCAAGTGTGGTCTTCGCAAGAGCCCTCCTCCACATAAAGACTCTATAGAACATAATTAATGGGTTTGGTTACTATGATGTCGTAAAGCCAGAGGACCATTTTCGGTGAGAAATCTCACATTTTGCCAATGGCTCGTCTCCAGCAGTAAAAATCAACCGATATCTTTTCTTTTCTCTTCGATATTCGGCTTCCATGAAAGCTTCCTATCCGGCAAAGGACAGTTATTCAGTATGCACCAACTTGGAGGCGACCTACACTAACTACATCACGACCAGTTCGTAAATGCTTGAGGAATTAATTTTAGAAACACACATCTTTCACATCACCAGTTCTATGTCGTTTGTTCTAGTGACAAAAATAACAATAAAATTAATGGTACATATGTATATGCGCCAAAAAGAATTGCAAATAATAGTGGAGTAGATATATTCTGATTTTTTTTTTTTCTTTTTTATTAATTATACAATTTCGAAATCAATATTCATATATAGTAATAAACATTTTTTTAGATAACACATATAATTTAGTGCTTTTTATTTAATTCCTATGCTATGGTACTAGATTTTTACAAAAATCACGCTCTTGGGCAAAGTGTTATCTCTGAGCTCTCAGAAATTTGTAATTTTTCGAGAACCTTCCAGCTTTAAACAAAACTATACACATGTTCATGCATCGCGTTCTAATGATTCTGATACATCATTCGTTTCAGCCATGCCACTATCTGCTTGCGATGAACCACCATATTCTGCAGACCCATGTGACATGTTTGCATACTCATTTACAATTTTAGGTCTAGTTTCGGAGCAGTTTTCACAAGATGTTACAATCACAATGGCTCCATCCTGATTACGATAAAGCTGATCTTCTTTTCCTTGCATACTCTGTTCAAGAGGCTTTCCACTAATATTTGGAATTATGCTGACAAAGAGTAGAACTGGAACCAAAAAGTTCAGAAAATGTATCTATTAGAAGTGTAATGGTAATGCCCTCTAACGCCTGTTTTGTGCCAAGTGACTCCTAAGACGAGAAATAGGACTACATGAGTACTAATGACTTGCTGGGAAATCAACTTCGTTATAAAGAGTTCTAAACATGAAAGTTCTTGCAAAACTTTTTTTCTCCATTTTTATTCGAGATTATCAGAACACAAATTAGGTGTTGTATCTTCAAGCACTCATCTGTCCTATCAGTCGCTTTTTCAGGTAATATTTCATAACAGTAAATAAGTGTACTCACCAGCTATAGTCAGGGACAAAAGTATTGATTCTCTTAGCATCTTGTTTCGCGAAAACTGTAGAATTGTCGGATTTCTAATTTTGACAAGTTGTCGGCCTTACGAACTCAACGGGACTGATTCGTAAAAATAAGTAGAAGAGTATGTCTTATATATTATATATACTTATATTTTAGACTGTTCTAAAGCTGTGTATCTCCGTACAATTTTAACAATACCACTTCAAAACCGATCTGCGTCTATTTTAAGCGAGAAAAGTTTGTATAGCGAATATAATTCTAAAATGGGACCTGGGAACGTGATATAACAACAAAAAACAGTATTCCACGCGTTTCCTAAGTACATACCTAGCTCACTACCAGTGGCGTAGCTGGGTAACCAAGGGCCCTGGGACAGTTTAAAAATGGGGCCCCACTGCTATGCAAACTGATTAGGTTATATCAATTAGAAATATGAAAAGCACTTTAAAAATAAGTGATTTAAGCTTTTAAACAATAACAAATTGATTTACCATTAATACTTGGTTTAGGTTTGGCTAACAAAAGGAAATAAAGAAGATTCAAGGGTTTATTGTTATAAAGATGTACCAAATAACTAAATATAAAAATATATTTAAAATTTTTCCTAGCTTTAGTTTTCGGAAAAGTATCAATCTCTTCCTGGCTTGATGCGGTTTTGTCTTCAATTGCTTTTAGCGATAACTGTCGGAGTCGTGTTTGACCTACATTATTTCTTAAATAATTTTTTACTATTTTTAATTTGCTAAATGACCTTTCGGCTGCTGCAGTAGGGACAGGATTTGTAAAGAACAATAACAATGCTGTAAATATTTCCGTTAGGTCGCCTTCTCTGTGCTCTGTGAGTGCTAGCACTCCATATTTGCTCATTACTGCCTTAGATAATTGTTGAACAGTCCATGCTTGAGTTAATTGCGGTAAAACTAGATGGTAAATGTTAATAAATTCAAGTGGAAACCTGGGCCCTTTTATATCTGAATATTTTCTTTGGAATTCGTCGCCCTTTTGTAATAAAATTGCTTTATCAACATCCAATAAAAATGTTGGTGTTATAAAATCGAATTTATGACATGACAAACTGCATTCATATCAATAAAACGCGTATCTAATTGAGTTAATTACTGTGTCTAGTACATTATTCCCTATTTGGAAATCGCTATTCAACTTCTAAATCAACAAAATTTTTTTTATTTTTTTTATTTTTTTTTTTTTTTTTTTTTTTTTTTTTTTTTTTTTTTTTGCATTGTTTGCTTTTAAATGCACACCTGGGTTTCTTCTTTTTATACACAATTTTAGTTTTCTAATTTATTTAAACAATACCATATTAGATTGTGCTCGAGTAGATAGCGAGTAGGTAGGTACACACTGTTCACTGACGACGTTAAAAGTAAAATAAAAGGAAAAAGAAACACAATAAATTTCTCTCAACTGAGTTCTCATGATTAAAGTGGGATTGCAACCAGTCAAATTTATTTTGAAAATGGGAGAAATTTTGAAAAGTTCAGTTCGATCGAGATTTCTTTTAAAGGGTTTACTTCCTTTATCGCATCTCGGCCACTAAAGTTAAACATTAACCTTTCTGTTATGAAAAAATGTTAACAACTTATATAATATGAAATTGAGTTCAACATTGGTAGGTTATATAGAAAACCCACTACAGAAAATGCCTCTCTTTACATTTATGGACAGAAGCAGCTAATTTTTATAGTTCCTTTACCAAAGAAAGGGAGGCGTACATTCTTCAATTAACAGCATCAGTAATAATAGGTAGTTATTCTCCTAAACCCCGGTACGAGCCCCAAAGTAAAGACAGGCATTGGCTTATCATTAGCGAAGATGAAACTCCAACGCACCTACCAGTTTTGAATCGACTCTGACAGTCCCGTAACTAGTCTCGAAAAGATAATGCTAATCACCTAGGCATTTTAAAACTCTTGATTAATATGTTCCGTTTCGTTTTCATATTGTCAAGATCAACCTTTTTTTTTTTATTTGTAATTAAGTACTTTGGCAAAAATCTGCATCGTCTTTGGTTGTCATTTGTTTAGCCATCCAGATGATTTATGGTATACTGTTGGTATTACCTAGAAGAATAGATAAAGAATCCTTCTATGAAAGCATATTTGCTATTAAGATTCGTTGGTTTGTAGAACCAGTGACTTATCTGGTGTATTCTTCTAAAATTGCATACATATCTTAAAGACTAGCCAAAGCAATAATTTGTATCTTACTCAATTCTGTAATCCAGCACCGCCCAAATGAACAAAATATGACGAATCGTAATGAAACACAGGGGGGCGTTCAGATGATTATGGTAACAAGATTCTAGATTACTTACGGACAAACAATTTTTCTACCGTGCATAATGTATTTTAAGTTTGCCATGATGTTTGAAACTGACAAAAAGATATTTCGAAAACCTTATAAAGTGTATATACAAGCAGCGTTCCAAAGCTATATTGAAGCAGAAGGAGACTATTTTGAACAAAATAAATGGATTTTGCCGAAAAGTAGGCGGAACCGTAACCGTAACCGTAAGTCGGTGAGGAATATTTCTTCAAAACGGCTTGAGCGATTAACTTGATTTCACAGCATCTTCTTAGTCAGTTAATGATCGAAGGAATAAAGTTTCTGATAAAAATTTCGTAACTTTTTAAGTCACTTTCAAGTGCAAATTCTCTTGCAAAAAAAAATTTGGGAAGCCGCCATTTTGTCTAAAATCATAATTTTTGACATTACTTGTATTAATCTATGCTAAAATTAATATTTTTGACTTTTTATTACAGTTAATTTGGATCAGGGATATCCTCCGCACCGCCAAAGACCTTTTTGTGGAGGACTCTCTGGAGATCTTCTACAGGAACGACGAAACCCACTATTTTTGTTAATAAAATGCGAATTTTTTTAATACGTTAAATTCGCTAAATGTTCGTATATTTTATGTATATCTTCAATAAAAATCCTCTTCAGAAAAAATTAACAAAAAAACACATTTTTTGGAACTTACATGTGGAAATTATCCCTTAAGGCGGTTACATGTTACGGGTTTCAACAGTCGAATTTCATTATCTCCTCTAGAATATTGCGCCTATTTTTAAATTGATCCGAGTAATAGTCTTGGAGATACAGCCTTGAGTAGTAGTGCGCTAGAGACTAGCTGGGCTAAGTGCGCCGTCTTTAAACGCGTTTTTCTCGAAACTGTGTTTTTGAAGTCGGCTTGCAAGATTTCTCAAGAACTACTCAACCGATCTTCATGAAATTTTGCACAGGCCTTTGAAATACAATTATTAAAGATTTGAACGAAGGACTTCTTTTCATTTCAACTATTTAAAAAAATTAATACGCGAAATTTTCACAGAATTTTTTTTTTTTTTTTTTTTTTTTTTTTTTTTTTTTTTGTTTTTTTTTTAATTTTCTTTCAAACATCCAATTTTCAGATTTCTTTTTCTTTCATCCGAGCTCTATGGCTGAGTGTCAAATATTTTTTTCCATAACTTTCATGATTTCGGTGTTAATAATGCATGTTTGTAACTATGATTATATAGTATATACATTTCAAATAAAATACTTAATTTTTCATATGAGAAATTTTTTTTTTACCTTAGGGTAAACTAGTCCCATAGTTTTTGTGATATCGTTTTGAAATTTGAACATGCTCTTTTTTCGACAAGAAGCTACTTGTTGTGTCAGAACCGATATCGGACAACGATAATATATATTATACCTGCTATAACAACTGACCGATCGAAATCGAGATAAGATTAATTTTTACTTTTTCGTATGATCAAATGTGAAAGGTATTATAGCTTCGGTGCAACTGAAGTCAATGTCGTTTTTTTTTCTTTTTTTTTTTGTTTTTTTTTTTTCAACATAAGGTTTGACCAGTTGTGGCGACTTAATTATGTTCAATAATCACCAAACGAAGCAGTTAAGTTTATTAAATATATTCAATTTACTTAGTAACATAATAAGCGCTTTTTAGATAACTTTTCTTTAAAGAAAGTATTATCGCAATTCAACAAAATTATTTTAACTTGAATCAAACCATTATCATAATAAACGGATATACAAATCTTTGAATAATACATTCAACTTTAAATTTTTTTCCATCATTACTTAATAACTTGAGTCGCTTTCACTTATACCCCAAATATAGGATAAAAAACTTAAATCACTACTGTAATCACTACTGTAATCACTAGAATCACTTTCCGTTGCAGATGGCTTGCCAAAAAACTGTTTTGTCATAATTTCAATACTCTGCCGGTGCGTAGAAGCTCCACTTCCTTTAAAGTTATTTATCTGAAGATTAACTGTGTCATTGTTTACTTCTGCAGACATCTTTCCATCGTTTGACTTTGAGATCAATTGTGTTGCACTCGCATCTCCTTCCAAAGGCTTTCCACTAATTCTTAGTATACTGCTGGCAAGTAGTAAAACTATAAGGAAAAATTTTAAAATTTTATAAATTGTAAGTGTTGTTATTATCATAGGTTATTGGATATTATTCCTAAAGTTTTTGTGGTTTCCGGAGCACGCTTGATACTTGAAATCGTATCTCCAAATCCACCCGTTATGAGCTGTGACCTTACTCTAGTGATTTGCTGTGTACCTAGCTGCGGTAATGCGCAATTTAAGTATCCGCTAGCAGTTCCCCTTTTGTGCCGAAGTCATGCTCTCTATTTAATTTAAGACAAGCCAGACAACTTAAAAAGTATTTCACTAAACGCTCATCCAATCGGTAAAGAAGTTGTACTTACTCCCAGTCATCAAATGCAAATACATAGGCAACGGTGACATCTTGTTTGCAAAATTTAGTAGAATTTTAGCTAAATCACTCAATTAGATAAGTAGCTGAGAACTGCATTGAGCAACGGTTTACGGCAACTTATATGGCGCAGCTATACACTAGTCTACACAGTTTAGTATTATTTTGGAACTGAGTTCTTGAAGGAAATTCTTCAAAAAGAGTAAGGCAAATTGGCAGGTACGAAATATTCGTGAAACTTTTAGTGTCCACTGAGCTCGTGCGGTCTCAGATTAAAACCGTATACTTCTTCGATTTGCATGGACCGCTCCCTTGTGTCATCGCAGCCCGATGGAACAAGCTATCTGGGTGCAAAACTGCAAAAGTCATGTGCAAAATGGTAGGTAAGCATATGTGTCCCCATGGCACGATATATTGATGGAGGTATCGATAGTGAGGCCACAGAGTCTGTTAAAATTCAGGTCGAGGTATCTTTAAGCATCACTACTTCTCATGGACCTAGTAACTGAACTGCAACTGGTCAAAGAACCAAAACTGGGCTATGGCTTATTGGCCTACAAGATTAACCTAACCTATGTCATTTAGCGCTTGAGCTTTGGGCCCAATGACTGTGCTTGGCTGGATATTAACCTTGTTCTATATTTAATGATTGTACTCGAACTAATCTGTTATTGAGCATAAGCGGACAATGTACCCGTCCTATTTTAGCTAAAAGGACTTGAGTTTGATCGATCTGTTTCTATGACAGCTGTATGCTGTAATAGTCGGATACCGGTGATTCTGACAAATGAGCAATTTTTTAGAAGTGAAAATGGATGAATGCAAAATTTCAGACCGATATCTCAAAACTATATTCATACGGACAGTTATGCGGACATAACTAAACGACTCACGCTATTCTGACGTTTCGTCTTGAGGGTTACAGACTTCGTGGCAAGCTCAATATACCCTCTTCAGGGTATAATCATGCTCGTATGCAGTACAAATTGAATTCAGAAACTCTGAAATGAAAAATAAATATCGGTGTTTCAGTGTAGGAGGAAAATATTCTTTATTTAATGGAGACTGGCGTGTTTTTGCATATCTCTCAGTTTCTAGTGGGGACGTGACCAAACAATGAAACAAGAACGCTTATAAATACTAATCGTTATTGAATTATAGCAGTTTATTAACCAGATTAAAGCTTTGTCTTCAGAATTTAAGTAACAAAGAGCCAAGTGCAAAGACTCTTTTTACATGCAAAGCAAGCATTTTGCCGATAGTAGTCGGTTCCTACAACAGCGAACAGCGAACACTGTTTGTAATATGATATTGTTGTGGCCTAGATATGTGGTCCCACTCATGCCAAGTAATTGCTTAGAAAACTGGGTGTCGTTGAGCTCAGTAGAGTTTCAGAAGTTTCCTAAAGCCTAATGGATCTTGAATTACCCTTTCAAAGCTAGATATACCGTAGTTTTTTTATACAACGAACTGCGCAATCAAAGGATTATTTGTTTATAATTAGTCTAATGGATAATCTCTTACTCTTACTTAGTTGTTCGAAAAAGGACTTCTCACAAGTGAGCCGCCTGAAAAATCTTACGCACCGATCCAGCCCGATCATACTCAAAAACAACTTACATTGGTAGGTCTATATTTGAAGCTTTCTTATGCGGACATATTCCAAGTCTTTGCTTCACTTTTATTGTTAACACTTACACTTCTTTAAGTTGTCAATTTCTTTGATTGCTTGCTTTATTAGATCTCATGTCAAAACAAAGACTTCCAAATTTATCTATAGGCCGTATTGTTACTAAAAAAAAAACCCTCATTTTCTGGCGCACGATGGAATAGAGAATCAAGACCATTGGACTGTCTGCTGCAGACTTCGGATATTTAAAATCCTCTGGTAGATATTATAAAAACTTTCAAAAACTCTAAAAGCTCTACGTTCCAATCTGCTCCATAATACAAAAACTTCGTTACAAAGTCGAAATGAAGTAAGACCCAATAACTTTAGGCGCTTCAATTATTTTTATTCACTCTTCTCTTACACGTTCAATAGACTTACAATACTTGTGTGAAATTAAAAATGTATATTACCAACGGCAGATTATCTTTGTATTCGATTTGTTTTCGCTTTTCGACTGTTGTAACTTGCATCCCTTTAAGTTCTTTGTAAGAGATTTCAAAAAATTCTCCAAATTTATTACCGTTGACAAACGAGTTTCTGATTCTTTTATGACCCGCGAACTATCTCCACCATCACTCTTCTCCTCATCTTCACTTTCGCTTCCATTTTTCTCAGCTGAGTTATCCGTATCCTTATCCTCATCGGTGTTACCTCCACTTTCGCTTCCATTCTTCTCTGCCGAGTTATCCGTATCCTTATCCTCATCGGTGTCACCTCCACTTTCGCTTCCATTCTTCTCTGCCGAGTTATTCGTATCCTTATCCTCATCGGTGTTACCTCCACTTTCGCTTTCATTCTTCTCTGCCGAGTTATCCGCATCCTTATCCGCATCGGTGTTACCTCCACTTTCGCTTCCATTCTTCTCTGCCGAGTTATCCGTATCCTTGTCTTCATCGGTGTTACCTCCACTTTCGCTTCCATTTTTTTCTGCTGAGTTATCCGTATCCTTATCCTCATCGGTGTTACCTCCACTTTCGCTTCCATTCTTCTCTGCCGAGTTATCCGCATCCTTATCCTCATCGGTGTTGCCTCCACTCTCGCTACCATTCTTCTCTGCCGAGTTATCCGTATCCTTGTCTTCATCGGTGTTACCTCCACTTTCGCTTCCATTCTTCTGTGCCGAGTTATCCGTATCCTTCTCCACATCGGTTGTACCGGTTTCCTGCGAATTACTTTCCCTACTTTTGCTACCATCTTTCCCTGGTAGATTGCTTACTTCAATCATATCTTCAAGCATCTTAGATGTGAGGCGTCCTTGCAGAATATCGTTTATGGAATTAATTATAATTCTTATAAAATCTAATAGTTCATTTTGTGCAATTCCTAGCCACCCATAATTTAAACTCATTCCGTGGACACTTGGGATGTCAGCGACAAGAAGAATAGCTGCAAAGAAAAGTTTACTACTCATTTTAATATTATTATTTCTCTATAAATTAGTTAAGAGAGCTTCCTTCGAACTTCTTAGTAGCTTTCCAGCTTTCAGTGCCCTTGAGAAATCTCTATTACCTACCCACTATGAGAACGGATAAACACAGAGTTTGCGGCTTCATATTGTGCACAGTTCAAATGTTGGAGAATAACTGTCGAACGATAAGTTATTTGCCTTAAATACAGCATCCAGTTTAATCAGTCTACAAATTGTAAATAATTTTTAACACGAGCTCATTTTTTATTTGCCTCAAATTAATAGGACTTGGAAATCTAAAGAAAATTCACATTAGTATATTAAGACTAAATGAGAAAATAGCATAGAAAATTCCACTTAAGTTTTCTTCTAAGTCTTTTGCAGTAATTTGAAGGACTGATACTATTTTTGGGGCACTGCTTGAACTGTACCTGGTTACATAGCGGTTAAAAATTAATCCGAATTTACGCTAGCTTCAAATTTGTTGCCACAAGCTAAAGGGGTAAGCATAATTTTCAATCTCCACAATATCTTTATGTGCGAGGTGTAAATACTTCTTTTGTTCTGTCTTATTATTCTGGTTTCCAATATAGATCTCCCCTTTTATCAACACAAATACTAGGTCTGAATTTTATGTGAGCTAAACCCTTTCTACCCATCCCTTATATTTTCGAATGTAGCTGGAAAATTATTCTCAGTCCCACTCTTGCTCGGGCATTTATGTCGTCAATATATTGTAGAGATTGCAAATACGTAAGGTTAAATGTTTGTGGAAATTAAACCAAAGAAAAAGTCAAAAATACTCAGTATCTTGGAAAAGTGTTACCGAACGCATTTTGGTATTTTTCCTGAGCCTACTATGTTTTTTCTTTTTTTCGTTTCCATTTTCTCAGTTCGAAAATTTGGTTAAGCAGTGTCATTTAAACCAAACCAGATACGTAACTTGTTTCTTGATCGCCACAAAACGTGTTTGGGCATTCTAAGTCTAAGTTTGCTTGGAAACATAATAGAATTTTTGAACACGTTTAGATTTATTTGTTAATTCGAGTGATGTAAAATAATGTTTAGCAGTTGTCAGATGTCAAAAAATAAGACTGTGTAAGGGAAGGTAAACTAAACGAATCAAAAGAGGGGGTCTCTCATTCTACTTCAAATGGATGTTTTTTGGCTACCCAGAAGATACTTGGTCTAAGACTAGTAGTCGTGTACTGCTTGAGCATCGCTTGCGTGAACTTCTACACATGGCTCCATCCGCCGAACATGACCCCAGGAAAATCAACCATCAACATGACCACCTCAGGCACAGTGGACGCCCAAAAGAGTTTTGATTTTGACGAAAATGTCAAAAAGGTCCACAAAGTAATTTTGGATGACTGTAAAGTGAAGTGATTCACGCTATCAGGCATTCTAAAATATCAACTGAATGTTTACATTACTTCATTCACGAATACTTAGGTAAGTGAAAACTCTGTGCAAAGCGGGTGCCACACGTGAGCACTTTTAACCAAAAACAAAGACGGGTCGATTTTACGGATCAGTGTTTGGAGACATTCAGTCATAATAAACCCATACTTTTGCGTCAGTATGTGACAATTACTGAAACTTGGTTCCATCATTTTACTGCAAAGTACATTCGTCCGTCGTACGAACGAACTGCACACGTTGTACCCACTCAAAAGCGTGGAAAAACGCAAAAGTCGGCTAACAATGTTATGGCCTCCGAATTTTGGGATGAGTAGTTTTATTGAATACCTTAAAAAGGAATGACCGAAGGAAATCGCCGGCAAAAATCCATGAACTTGGCTTCAAATTACTTCTGCATCTATCGTGTTATCCAGATCATGCACTCAGCGATTATTTCCTGCTCACAGATTCTTATTTTGAAGCAAAGGACAAATCGTGCTATAAAAATGGTATCGAAAAGTTGGAAGAATTTTGTCTAATAAGTCTGTTTGCTATGATAGGCCGGATACTTTTCAATTTACCCGTTATATCCCAGTTAAGATGTAGGATATCTTAGAAATGTTCCACAATGTCGCCCTATACGCTTGTTATTTTAATGAACGAAGTAACTGCTTGAAAAGATGGAAGAGAGAGACCAAGGAAAAAGTAGCAAGCAGAGACATCATATTTTATGTTATTCTCTGTTAATATTTTTGGAAACCCCATCGATGTTATCTTTTTTAGACAGATCACTGAACACTGCTGTGGATTTGAAAGGGGAGGAGGAAAGCTGTAATGAGATTGTTAGATAAACCATCTCACAGATACTAAAAGTATCACCAACAAACCCTTTCCCGATAATTGCAGTCGCTTTCGTATATAAAGCTTCGCAGTCGTATAGATGATATTTTATGGTTTCCACTTCATGAATGTTTCATTTATTGCTGTGATAAGCGCTAGGAGGACACGCCAATGTTCTAATAGACGAAATGCTATACTGTCTGAGTTTAGTTTCCATGAAAGCTTCCTGTATAAAATTTGTCCTAAGAAGCTTGACTTATACCCAATTATTAGCCTGCTACAATTTCATAATGGTGGCATGACTTTTGGGTTCCGTGTTCCTTAGTGAACAAATCTAGTATGTATTGCTAGCATTTAATTTTATTGCGCCAGAAACAGTCCGCCGATTTATGTCATTTAATATTGTTTGCATAAGTTTAGCGAGAGAGTTTACAAATTTACCTCTAACCGAAACTGGCACATCATCAGCGTACGCCGTATAATAAATACATTTTTCTACAGTTTCAGAGATGTACAAATTTTTAAGCTGGATATTATTGAAGTTTTTTTCTATAAAAGCTACGAGGGTGTACTCGTTTACGTTTTGAAGTTTTTACCGAGCATAAAGCGGATTCTGTGGATTTTCCTTAGCGTATTTTGAAACTTCCAGTTTTCTGGGCTTAATTTAAACATAAGAAAATATGTACTTCTAATACATTATCCTACATTTTTATGAGAAATGTGGGAAGACTAACTGATCTCAAATCTTTTGGACCCGTATGTATGCTTTGTCATGCCTTTAGTTTATATATTCTTTTGACTTTCCTCAATAACGAGAGAATATAGTAGCGCCCCTTCAAAAATGGTCCTGGGTATTGCTAAAGTAGTCCTGTGACTGAGCAGTCACTGAATACGGGCATAATAAATCAGGTACCGGCGATTTGAAGAACTTGAAACTGCTTTTCGCTTAATATACTTACATTATTTTCTAACACTTTACCTGCAGGAATCCAATTTATCACTAATCCACACTTTTATATATACGTTTACTTACACAAATTAGTGAATATGTTCGTTTTACTCGATTGCATTTCTTCATGCCTTACTTTGGTACTTTTACATCACGATGATCTTAACAGTTCCATGCTCTCACCGTGCCAGAACTTACACAACAAATGTTCGTTGCCAAGAACATGATGGCTGCCTGCGATCCACGACACGGACGTTATCTCACTGTTGCTGCTATCTTCCCTGGACGTATATCAATGAAGAGAGTTGACAAACAAATGCTGAATATACGATGATAATGAAATATTCAAAATTTCACAAAATGAATGCTCAAACATTCGATGGAAATGGCGAAATCGAATTGTATTTTTATTTAATTAAATGAAGACAGGTAGTTGCAAAAAAAAAAAAAAAAAATCTTGCATTTGCACCTGCCAGTTCATTTTACTACAATTTCTGATATTTGCCGGCACTTTTCTCAATTCTAGATTTATTCGGTGATCAATAAGTTTACTTAGATGTGCTATATTTTTACCTCAAAAGTTTTAACTTTACTTTCAACAAAATTTTTATTTTAACTTTACTTTCAAATTTTTAAATCTTAACTTTTTCATGTATCTGCATATAAATAAAATAAAAAATTCAAATAACAGAATTCTTAAAAATTCGACAATGGAGTCCAATATGTAATTAGCTCATTAATTGTAGCATGAGCCGTGTTATTGCATACCAATAAATAACCGCTCAAGTTTCGCTGAGATGTGATTAGGAATTTACTCACTTAATGAACCAACATTATTATCCATAAAATTTAGAACTCCACCTCACGTTCAAACAGCAGAATAAACCCTTCGATATTGAGAGATTGATTATCGTACATGACAGCACGCTATTCGCTAAATTCAATTAGGTTCTACTAGACCTACCAATAATAGTCTCACTGATATATATATCTACGAAAACTTCATTTGCTAAGCAATTTCTTGGGCACATACTGTGGTGGCTTCTACGATCTGCGATCTGGCTTTCATTCTATATATTTTAGACCATAATCTTCGTTGCAACGCCAAAATAAATTAAGACCCAATAACTTTAGGCGCTTCAATTATTTTTATTTACTCCTGTTTACACCTTCAATAGACTTACAAAACTTTTGTGAAGTAAAAATTTTGTTATTTAAAAAAATTTATATTTTACCAATGGCATGCCCATTTTGTATTCGTTTGGTGTTTGCTTTTTGACAGTTTTACTTTGTGTCCTTTTAAATACTTTTTAAGATATTTAAAAAACTTATCCAATTCAATAACTTTTCCACCAATGTTGATAATTCCTGCGGATCTACATTTGCGCTTCCATTCTTCTCTGCCAAGTTCTCCATTGCGTTATCCGGGTCGGTTACATATGTTTTCTGCGAAATATCTCCAATTTCACTTCCGTCTTTCTCCGCCTCTGTTGGATTGTTTACGGTAATCGTAAATGGCCGCATTTTGGAGCGTTCGAACAGAACATCGTTAATATCAGTACCTACACCGCTTATCAAATAACTAAGTTCTTGCGCTGCACGGCTTAACAAATTGTTAGTTAAATACATTCCTTGAACGCTTGGTATGTCAGAGGCAAAAAGAAACGCTGTAAAGAAAAGTTTGCAACTTAAATCAATATAATTATTTCTCAACAAATTAGTCCATCAGTTAAAAAATAATTTCCTTCGAATTGTTTAGCAGCTACCAACGCGCTGAAGGAATCGCTAATACCTACCCACAATGAGGAACGGCAAACACAGCGTTTTCGGCTTCATATTGTGAGCAGTTCGACAGATGGAAAATAACTGGCAAACTATAGCTTATTTGTAGGGCCTTAAATACAGAATCCATCCATTAACTAGTCTACAAATTGTAAATAACTTTTAACACATGTTTACTTTTTTATTTAACCCAAATTAATGGAACTTAGAGATCTAAAGAGAATTCATTTTAACACTATACATTGTGAGTCTGTAAGGGAATAGCATAAAAAATCCGGTTAAGTTTGCAATTTTCGTCAAAATATCGTCATGATGCGCATGGGTTGAAGTACTGACAGTATTTTCGGTGCACTGCTTTTGCCTTACATGTTTACATAGGTTTTACAATTTAAAATGTGTATTAAGCAAATTTTCATTTTATTACTATATGCTAAGGGGGGTAACATCATTTTCAATCTGTAAGTCTAAGTAGTTCTGTAAGTAATCTGTTTATCGACTGCCTAAAAATCTTCGTTTGGTCCCTTTGTTGTATTTTGCGATATAGATCCTTTTATCAATACAAAGTCTAAGTTTTAAGTGAGCTTAAATCTTTTTACCTACACCTGATGTCACTGAATGTAGCTGAAATAATATCCTTACTCTCGCTCCTGCTCGGGCACGTCAAAGCATCAATGCAGATTTTAGACGCAGCTATGCGAGCTTCAATTTTTTTAATTTTTTTGCAAAGCAAAGCAAGGATAAAGTCTAAAATTCATACCACTTAATATTCAGTATTTTTAAAAGATCTACGGAAGTTTTTTTTTGTTTTTGTTTTTTTGGTTTTTTGTTTTTTTTTTGTGCTGCTCTTCATGCTACTTGCGATTTCCTCAGTTCGTCAATTTTGTGAACTAGTGTCTTTGAAATAATAGACTCCAATCCAAATACCTTCTTGATGTATTAGTCGTCACAAAACACGTGAAGGCATTCAGTAGACAATGAAACTACGTCGAAGCTTATAAACAGAACAGGAATTCTGAAAAACTTCTATTCTATTCCATTCCATTGTATTTTCATTGATTGTTGTAAAATTATTAGGCGGATGGAGTCATGTGAGGAAAGTTCTCTGATTGCAATCAGCCTGCTGTTATTAACTCGGCTATAATCACGTAAGCGGTGTCTACGCCATTAAAGAAGCAGAAGAAAAGTATGTACTAGCAGTTGTCAGACACAAGAAAACAAAATTATACTCGTATATGTTATATAGTCTAATTAGCTCCTTTGTTCTTGCGTTTAAAAACGTTTCGGAAACATCGAATGACGTCAGGAATTTGCTGTAAAATATATAATTATTATATTATTATTACTAGATAATGCGTCAACTCAAGTAATGACGATATTTCTCCGCAACGCTGATGACCATATAATAAATCTCTAATTCGCCCGGCGTATACTGCGACGACTTTCAGATCTGTTTTCATCCATTCGAACGGCAGCGTAGCCGTATATATCTTACAGCTCATTGTTCCATCGACAGCGGTATTCGCCGTTGTCAATGCGCAAAGCAGCATATATCTTCGTCTTGCCCACGATCACCATCAGAGCCATTTAACTCGGTTCTTTGTCCAACCTGGAGAATACAGAACTAAAGGCGCGGTTGTTATGGTCAGTAATATTGGTGTCATCGGCGTACGTCAGCTTTTAGGAAATTGTGCCTAAAGGCTTGGAGGAAAGCATGTTAACGGAGATATTGGTATTGCTCAACGTCATATTAGCGGCATAAAGGCATTGCTGCCACAAGTTGCTCTAAAATCAACGAAGATGTGGCTTATGTCGATCCTCTTTTCACGACTCTTTTCCTAGTTTTGGCGCATGATGATAAGATCCAAACAATTTGTTGACAGTGGGCTTTTATTTTTCACGAAATACGCTATATGCGAGTAATTGCTATTCGGACTTCTTAGTGGTCGGGCAATGAGATATCTGCTCCATTGCCATCGATTATTGAATCGGGTTCAACATCTCCAGGTATTATGCTTTCACTGGCATTCAGCAGGCTGGAGAAGTGTTCCCTCCATAATTCTACCATGCTCTGGGCATCAGTACAAACACTAGATCATCTCTGAAAGTTCTAAATGACGAAAAGGTAAGTTAAGGGCAATCAAGGTTCAAGATCACGCTTTATAGGGATCAGTAGACTATATTTGTTCTCGTGTAACTACAAGAGATTTTCTAAAAGCAATGCCAATTATGTTAACCAATTTAACGACTTAAGAGTAAGCATTTGTTACTATCTAGAAGGATTCGCAAAATCGATTCAGCTCGTCATTCTGATCATTTACACGCTCTTGTGTGCGAATTTCAAACTTCCTGAAAATTCCTGAAAAATTTAAAACTCAATCTAACGGTTAAACAGTAGAATAAATCCTACGATATTGAGGGATGGATTGCCACGCTATCCCTGGCATTATCTCAATTAAATTCTACTAGACCTACTAATGATAATCCCACTGATATATGAGAAACATTCATTTTCTGGTAATGGACTTCGAAAATATGTACCTGGGCAATAAAGGTACATGTTGGAAAGACGAGTCAAGCACAGTTTGTGACGCATACTTCGGCGGCTTTTAAGATCTACAGTGCGACTCCTCCTTTTACATATTTAACAAAACTCCGACCGTAGTACATAATACCCGTTGCAACATTGAAATGAATAAAGACTCAATAACATTAGGTATTTCATTTACTTTTATTTACTCTTCTCTTACACTTCTTTTTGACTTACAGTACTTGCGTGAAGTAAGAACTATAATATTCGAAGAAATTTTTATATTACCAACGGCATAATATATTTGAATACGATTTTTGTTTGTTTTTTGATTGTTTGAACTCGCATTTTTTTAAGCTCTTTATAAGATTTTTCACAAAATTATCCAAATTTAATAAATTTTCTATTGATTCTTGCTTTTCTGATGATTTTTCTGCTTGCTGTGAATTATCTGACTTCTGCGTATTAGCCGTCTCCACAGAAACCCTTCCGCCTTCTTTACTTCCGCTTCCATTCTTTTCCGCCGAGTTTTCTGTCTCCTTTTCTTCATCGGTTACATCTGTTTTCTGGGAATTATCTTCCTGTGAATTATCTGACTTCTGCGTATTAGCCGTCTCCATAGAAACTTCGCCTTCCTTACTTCCGCTTCCATTCTTTTCCGCCGAGTTYTCTGTCTCCTTTTCTTCATCGGTTCCATCTGTTTTCTGGGAATTATCTTCCTGTGAATTATTTCCACTTTGGCTTTCATTCTTCTCAGATTCCAAGGTATCCGTCATCTTATCTTCGTTGGTGGTATCTGTTTCGTTCGAATTATTCCCATTTTCGCTTTCATTATTCTTTGTTGAGCTTTCCGTCTCCTTATTTTCGTCGGAGGTATCTGGTTCTTGCAAACTATATGTATCCACATACGTTTGACTTTCTCTATTCATCCTTTCATCTTTCTCTAGTTCTAGATTTTGCAGCACAATTTGAATCGGTTGCATTGTGGAACGTTCTGATAACAGAATACCGCTAACGCCAGTAGCTATCCCTCTTATCAAAGAGTTGAGTTCTTTTGCAGCAAATCCTAACAACTCGAAAGGTAAAAATATTCCATGGACTCTTGGCATTTCAGAGGCTAGAAGAAACGCTGAAAAAAAGTTAAATAATTTTAATAAATTATTCCTTTACAAATTAGTTCATCGGTGGATACACAGTTTCTATAGAACGGCCTAGTAGACCTCCAGCTTTCATTGCGCTTGACGAATACTTAATACCTACCCACTATGAGGACGCATAAGCACAGAGATTTCGGCTTCATATTGTGTACAGTTCGATAGATGGAAAATAACTGTCTAACGCTATGCTATTTGTCTTAAATACGAGTACAGTATGCAGTATAACCAGTCTAGTATAGTGTCATTTAAACAATAACTTTCAATCCACATACTTATCTGATCTTTTAACCGCCACTAAACATGTGAGTGCATTGAGTAGACAATGAGACTAAGTCAAAGCTCATAAACAGAGAATGGTTTTTGAAAAGGTTTAGGTTTCTTTGTTGTCAGAGGGAAGAGAGCAGCAGCGAAAAGGAAAAAATTATAGTATTTAAACCGTGATCAAAAAGTAAGATGAGTTTGATTAAAAAATCTACGTTCTTTTTTATTCTTACAAATAAAACGCTATTTTGTCAACATAATAGCCATGACCTTTTTCTATTCGGATTTTGTCTCCGCAATCGTGTCAAAAGAAAGTCCAGAAATCGCCAGGAGCCTAATCAGGCGAACAAGGTGGTTGCGGAAAAATATGCGGTGCGCTTTTGCCAAAAAATAAAACCAATGACTGTATCGTGATGAAAAAGCCAAGAGTTCTTCGTCCATAATATGCTCAAAGCGTTGGAATGAATAGGTACACCACACCACGATAATAACTTCCCTTTTGTAGTCCCAAAGTATAATTGTAATCCCTTTGCTCTTGTGCTTCGGAAACTTTCAATGACGTTTGGGATTTGCTGTAACCCTATCGCAAACTCGTTATTATAAAGCATGAACTAAATTATTTACGATGTAGCGCTCTTGATAGTAAAATAAATTACTTGTTCCCCTTTTTGTTAAAAGCACGACAAAGTTTCGACGCAACACCAACTATTTCGATTGTAGAATCGTTTTACAGTTTTTGCTTCGTTGTATCAGTATTTCAGTTCTTTAGCCTCTTACAGATCAGTGCTAAAACCCCACTTGTATAACGGCGATATAATTTTGAGATCTGGCTTTAACAGTGATAGTGGGTTATATTTGTTCTCTTATAATGACAGAGGATCGATAGCTATACTACTATAATATAGTAAGACTAAAGATCAATCAATAATTCATTCCATGAGGCCGTACTTTTTTTGAAGTTGGCCATTCTAGCTTTATACACTTTTTATTTTTTATTTTTTTTATTGAAGCAGAACGACCAGCAAGCCAGTCGCACGTTCGTTGAATGGGTCAAAACGCGATCGCCATCGATCTAATTTCACAAGAAAATGTTCTTCAGTGATAAATCTCACTTTTGGTTAAATGGCTTCGTTAATAAAGAAATTGTCGGATTTAGAGTGATGTTAATCCACAAGTCATTGTTCAGACGCCGTTAAATCCGCAAAAAGTCACTGTTTGGTATCCTCAATGGGCAGAGTTAAACAGTGATAAATATTTCTTCAAAATTGAAGCTGGCCAAAATGTTGTAATTATTAATTAATGACTCTTTCATGCCATAATTCGATTATGTGGACGACATTGGTTCCGACAGACGGCACTACATGCCACACAACCGAATGCAACAAATAATTTATTGATGGAAACTTTTCGAGAGCGTATTATCTCGCAACGGCGGCATGTGACCCCAGCCCAAAATTATTCTTGGAACACTATGGCAAACCCTATCTTTACAATAAAGCTAAGTTCTTGTCCATATAAATTATATGCGCTTTATTTCTTCTTGGAAACCACATGACTTAGAAAACCACACTTTTTATTAGTAAGCGCTTACTTTAGAACCACAACTTAATATACTGTTTTACTGTTACGTTCCTGAGAATACATAGGAGATCATAGCTGGCAGAGCGGAAAATAACTGTTAATATTTCATTGTCTTGCCAAGGAATTTTTAAGTCAATACAATACGTATTCTACGATCTACCATACGATAATAGGTATCCTTCTGCTTTTTAATTGGCACAGTCACCGCTTACGCGATTATAGCCGAGTTAACAACAGCGAGTGAGCCGTTTCTTTTTTTCGCTACGTGGCGCCAATTAGATATTCCAAGTGAAGCCAGGTCTTTCGCCACTTGGTCCTTCCAACGGAGTGGAGGTATTCCTCTTCCTGGAGGAAGAGCTTCCAGAGCTGGAGTGTTTTCGTCCATTCGGACAACGTAGCCGCTGTCTTTTAATTCGCTGAACTATGTCAATGTCGTCGTATATCTCGTACAGCTCATCGTTCCATCGAATGCGGTATTCGCCGCGGCCAACTCGCAAAGGACCATAAATCTTTCGCAGAACTTTTCTCTCGAAAACTCGCAACATCGATTCATCTGTTGTTGACATCGTCCAAGCATATGCACCATATAGCAGGACGGGAATTATGAGTGACTTATAGAGTTTGGTTTTTTTTTTTGTCGAGAGAGGACTTTGCTTCTCAATTGCCTACTCAGTGCGAAGTAGCACCTGTTGCCAAGAGTTATCCTGCGTTGGATTTCTAGGCTGACATTGTTGGTGGTGTTTACGCTGGTTCCAAGATAGACGAAATCATCTACAACTTCAAAGCTATGACTGTCAACAGTGACGTGAGTGCCAAGTCGCGTGTGCGGCGACTGTTTGTTTGATGACAGGAAATATTTCGTCATGTCCTCGTGGGATGAAGTCATGTGTAGAAGTTCACGCAAGTGAGGAAAGTTCTCTGTTTGCCATACACTTGGGAGTGGCCAGAAACGATTCTTTTACAAATGACTCAAGCAGCTCACGACTTCCCGTCCTTGGCCAAGTATCCTCTGGGTAGCCTAAGAACATCCGTTTGAAGGCGAGCTAAAGTGAGAAGGCGAAACATCCCCTGCATAGGGTTGTGCACTGGGTTTGGGACCCGCCTCGTAAAAAAATACCCCTAATGAAAAAGCAACAACAGCATCGGATGAGAAGCCCCACTTTGATGACGACATGATTGAGGGCATGCACCTGGAATGTCCCGTCCCTTAATTGGGATGTCTTCGCAAAAATGAGGGCTGACATCAGCGCCGTCCAAGAAATGCGATGGACGGGACAAGAATAGATATTCTACAAACGTTTGAAAATTCCCACTCCGACTGACGTATGGAACGACTTGGCGCATTTCATGTCAAATATCTTAAATTAAAAGCATACAGAACACAGTTTTTGCAAGAACTGAAGCCGCTAGACTTTCCCAAGTGATATCGCTTCGCTCTATGGGTTCTTGAAATGTTCCAAGAAGATCCAAAGTCTTCTACACAAATTTTATTTTTCAACGAGGCCCATATCTGGGTCAATGGGACATATTTTTATATCCTGTTTTCTTACATTTTCATTAGACTTACATTACGTATGTATCTTCAGCAAAAATTTGCAATATTTTAAGAAATTTTTTATAATTTCACCGACAAACAAATTTAGCATTCGAACTGTTTTCGCTTTTTGACAGTTGTACCTCGCATCTCTTTAAGTTCTTTGTAAGCGATGTTGAAAAGCTATAAACATCCAATAATTCAAGAATTTTTGATGATTCTTACGGCAGCTGGTGATGGTCGTCCTTTAAAACCTCTATCTCTATTGCTACATTAGGATCAATTTTCTGGTCTTTATCTGCTGCTAAATTTTATTCATGAAAATATTTTTCTGTACCCTTTGTGCCTCCCTGTAAAGTGATCTGTAGTATTTGTTCTAACTGATGTTCATAGTTTAAGCATTTTCCACAGACACTTGAGATGTGGCTTATGACGAACAAAGCTGCAATGATATAATGAAGGAAGAGTATTACCATTTCAGTAGTAAATAATAATCGAAAAATCGGATTGATTGCCAGTTCCGCTGCCCTTTGCTATCTTATTCTTTTATCTAAATTAAAATAGTACCCGCAGGTTCTAGTCCTGAAGGTTTTGACTATGATACATTCTGGGTTCACATTTCATCTTAATGTTTTAGAAGAAATAATTACGACCGCATATATGAAGCATATTTTCTTAACCATCTTGTAGGCATGAGTTTGTACCGTTCCAGTTCTTACTAGATCGACCGGAGGTCTGGACGTATAAAGGCAGTTTTCTACACTGCCAGTGAAGACATCGTTTGAAGTTGTTTAAATAGTCAAATCAGTCGGTTTATAACAAATTTGTTGCACTTTTATCAGTAGGACTTTTTGCTGAATTACACGAAAGTTCGAACATTTTAATGAGGCTCATTGCTTGCGTCAAAAAACATGTGACTCCAGTAAATATATTGATTATTTAATTCTTAATAAAATACGCTTAGGCATTTACGGGAATCACGTACAGACTTGTAGTTAAAACCTTCTATTGTAGACCAGTTAGAATTTACTAAGCGTTCTCCAGAGACGAAATGGAAACCTCCTTACCCGTCTTTATAGGGGCTTGATTTGCGTTTACTGAAACGAAGGTTTTGAAATTGTCAAAAAACTCAAACGTACTCATTTGTGATTTGAAAAAAAAACCTCTTAAGTTGTTTTCGTAGTACTACCAAATATTTTTTTGGCTAAGCTCTAACCACCAAGGGTTACGCTTGACGAACAGTTGATCGCCTAAGCAGCTATTTAATACCAAACAACCAGCTCCTGATCAAGAGCGACAGGAGAAGAAGATTCAGCTTAAAAGAGCTCGAAATCAGCAAGATAGCAAATAAGCATCCCATCCTTACTTGAGAGGTAAGCAAAAATCCGAGGCCAAACGCTTCGAACGGAAGCTGTCGGAATTCTCAATTACTTAGCTCAGCTGAGTCGGGGTCACAGATTCTGGTCTGCAAGACGTCGGTTAACTCTAAATATCAAACAAGCCGCCACCGACCTGGAGCAACACACAGACGACATACCAAAAAATTAAACAACGGAAAAAAAACCGTGATTTTGACCAACCATTTGGAAACGTTCAACTGGGGCTGAAGGTTGTGGTCTGCTGTTACCTCCGTTTCTACGGAAGTGTTCATGTACGTTCGATACGATGTCTACATTAGGTTGGCGGTACAGCCTCAGTTGATTATAATCCTGACTAGTGCTATAGACTGGCTCCCACAAGGTCTCGCATCAATCCTCGTGTGGTCTGAAATGCACAGATTACTATAGAGGTGAAAATGCAACCGTACGATCGAGCCGAGATACATGAATAACGTAAATAATGAAAGCAACAAACGAGAACAGAAGCGACCAAGGGACGTTGAGCAATATATTTAGAGAAGGCAAAACAGGATTCTACGCTCGCTGTTACAGATGCGAAACGAGAGATGCCTGCAACAGGGGATGTAAACAGACAATAGATTCCGGAAATGGACACAACTCTCCGAGCCAATAATTATTTCTGAATTAGAAAGCAGAGGAGGATGTGGCTCTTTTAAGATGTGGCGTAGGTTATGCCATAAGCTAGTTGGGCATTAAGTGATTAAGTGTCTGTCAAGGCGGCTATGTTAAGTCCACAATCTAAAATCGATTAAAAATACTTACGCATCAGTTCAAAAGGAAAATGTAAGACACTCATTAAATATAACAATTTTTTTTTTTTTTCATATAGTAATTTAATTTATCTTTCTGGTCTTGCACAACTTAGTTAGTGAAAATACTGTCTAAATTTATACATCTTATTTGCCATAGGCAGATTCGTTCTTCAAATTAGTTAGGCATTCGCGTTCGGCCTTCTCCTGTACTCATATCGTCGCAGTCATCTCTCTTTCATGCTAGTATTCATCGCCTTATTTCCTTTTAACGGTTGTTTTTTTTTTTTTTTTTTTTTTTTTTTTTTTTTTTTTTTTTTTTTTTTTTTTTTTTTTTTTTTTTTTTTTTTTTTTTTGTAATATCTTATTTCTTTTTAAATGTCTCTATGCTGATATGGTGACCCCGGACGATTAAACTCTTTCCTGAACTCATATTCTATGCGGCCCAAAAATTTTGGCTGACGCGGCGGCGGATACTGCAGCTGAGCTGATCTTGCCTTTCTTATAGATGTTTGCGCTAGCTTGTCATCAGTTGCCGATTTTCCAAAAGTATTAGAGACTAGACTTAAAAGCAGACAAACTGTAATTATAGTTTAAGAATTAGCTTTTGCAATGGACAGTTAAAGTATTGATTAAAACATATACAAATTGAAACTAAGATTTTCTCTACAGATTTATTTTCCTACCCATTTAAAGTTGGCACAAATAAGTTGTTTGAGAATATGGACAATCTTTGCAAACTCTTCCCATATGACCTTGAAAATAGATGGTTATAGAAAAAATATACTTGCCACCAATTATGACATATATCCAGTTTGTTCCCGAAGCCATCCTGCGTGAATGATTTTATAGAGTGTAGAAACTTTTGAGTATATATTCAACCTTTGAATTTATGGTGAACTCTGCGAAGTCCTCTGTTTTTGGTTACCACTATATATAGTAAAATGGACGGAAGTATTGATCATTTATGAACTGATTGTTCAATTTACACAAAAGTTTTCAAAAATATGTAAGTATCTTTCATTGTATGTGACCTAAAACGTGTAGTTGCATGCCAAAAAGCATCGAAGTGTTCTACGAGATGTGATTAGGAATTAATGTTTTTACTATATTTTTTAAGTTCGTGTTAATTGTGAATTTTAAAGATAGTCGGAAACACCAGCAATAATATAGAAAATTTCAATAAAAAAACTACTATCACTATGAGTCTGTTTCGTGAGTGCCAGTAGTTGTAAGCTTTCGGGAAGAAGCAGATATTAAAATTTGATAAGTTACTCTCACAAAGAGCGAAAAAACAAAAAAATATTGAAACGGAAAACTGTCAGAAATTAGCAAGAAGCTATCAAAATTTTAATTTTGAGAAACTGAACATTTTAAAATGATTAAAATACCCAAAATAATCCTAATAAATCAGCTCTCTCTGCTTCCTAAACTCTCGACTAGTGCAGTCCTGTTAGTTTTTTCGATTTAAAACAAAATATGGAGAAACAAGAACTTCAACTGCACCGAAGCTATAGTACCCTTCACTGGTTTAAGTTTTATAAGTAATTTCGACGGTTTTCATTCACGAAGCAGTTGATACTGCTGCAATTTCTCGTTCGATATACGTGCAAAGTTCATCAATCGCCACTGGCTTGCTGGCATAGATCATAGACTAGTCGTAGTCCCACTGGAAATAGTCTAACGGCGTCAAATCTTACGACCGAAGCGGCCAATTGACTCGGTTTTCAAAAATCTATTGTGACATTCGCTGTGTGGCTTGTGGTGCCGTCTTGTTAGAACCACTTATTGTCCTCGTCCATATCAACCAATTCGGACAAAAATATTCGGTTATCATTGAGCGTTAGCGATTCCCATTCACAGTAACGGGTCGGTCTTGATCATGATGGAAGAAGTGCGGCCAAATGACGCGGTCGGCTCATAAACCACACCAAACTGTACATTTTTCGAGATGCAAAGAGTATCATCGCTGAAGACGATTTTTCGATGAAAATCCGGATCATATTCAAGTTGTTGCTCAGCCCAATTCACGAACATAGCGGCTTCCGTTCATTCGCCAATTTGATCTTGTTAGGATGTAGGCCAAGATCTTTTCCCAAAATTCACAACAACGACGTCTCAGCGATGTCCAACGCTCGAAAACGACGTGCGTGAGACCGATTTGTGTCTTCTTCTGTCTCACTGGTATGTGAGTAATTTTTACTGAGCCTGTGGATTCAAATTTTTCCAATAGATGCTCAATTGTTGATCTGACAGGACGGTTATTAGGATCATATAGTGCACATAGCGCTCTTAAAGTTGAGGCTACTGACTCTCAATTTTATTAGTAAATTTTAAAAATTTCGACTCGTTGTTGGATCGTATATCTCTCCATGATGAAATGGCAAACCTTACTGAAGAGAAATGTTTAAAAGAGCGTGAAAAAATATGGAATCGTTTGTGGTCCCTATTTTTCCACTTTTGTAGCGTCCCTATTGAAAAATCCGTATATAATTAGACCAGTAGTTTTCAAGATAAAACGTTTTAGCGAATAAAAATTCAACCACGATGTCTTTCTTTGTCTCCGTCTTCTTTTCTTTTCATCAAAGTAACAAAGCATCCGATAAATTCAATTACATCTATAGTTAATGATAATAATTTAGGTTATCATAAGGCGATTGTTGCTTTTTCTAGACTATGAGAATCCGCTCAGCTCAGCTTAGCCTACATATCCCTTAGCTATCTTACTTCTTAATGCCGAATGACTTTCTTCAAAAGTTATATCAGAATATGCGTTCTTCTTTTGACCTCTTTAAGTTTTTTGTTTTTTTTTTTCAAGCTGACAGTGCAAGTGTTCTTCAAACAAAAATGAAACATGCAAGAGGTTGATGAGTGCGGCCTTTACGACCTCCAGGCAGAGTATATTATGGGCTTGAATTATTGCGATATATTGCATTCTATGTAATGGTATAGGATAATCAAATGAAGCAAAAGTTCTTGGTTACGATTATATGGACTGATCTGTCGTGGAAAAGGGGAGTTATTATTCATAACCGCCTCAAAATATACAGCAAACTGGCTGTGCTATCGGAAAGAAACCCTGAAATACTGCCTTTTCCTGTTTTAGGTTCCACAGGATCTTCGTGAGGGTAACAATTTATATGTAAATGTATTAGTATGGGTATATGAAAATTTGTTCACGATCACGTAATATTAAAAAGTAAGAAACAATTTAAATATATTTTTATATAGACCAGTGTAAGTAATTCTTGAAAGCAAAACAAAAAAGTCTTATTAAATAGTAAAAATTAATTAAAAATTAATGTACTGATGATCAGAGGTCGAGAAAGGTAAGGCGAGGAATTGCTTGAATTTTTAAGAGTTGAAAACGGTTTATCGCGATTCGCGACAAAACTACCGATTTTTCAAAAAATGTTATATTGGAATGCAGAGGTAAGGAAAAGATAAGAATTAACCTCAAAATTAATGTGAAAATTAAAAGAACAAAGGTCTGGTTTTTTATTTTTAAATTAAATGAATTTTGGTTAAATAAATTTTGCGTTAAATAAATTTTGCGTAAATGTTCCTTTTCATATTGCAAATATACATTTTTTGATACCATACTTCAAAAACTATCAGAAGAGAAGATAAGTTAGAAGTCTGGTTTCTGCTTATAGTCACCGTACTTTTTTTATTGAAAACTTTCTATACTTTGGGTGGTATTATCGACTATTTTTCTAACTTTCTAATTTTAGAAAAAAAATTATATGCATTAATTCCTAATCACATCTCAAATAACACTGCGATGCTTCATTGGAATGCAACTACACGTTTTGGTCACAAACAATGAGAGGTACATRCATACATACATATTTTCGTAGACCTTTGTGTAAATCGAATAATCAGCTCATAAATGATCAATACTTGCGATCGATCTTACTACTATTTAAACAACCCAAACAAGAGGTCTCAGAGACATTGGGAAAGTGTTCACCACCAAAATTCATTATAAACTAGACACATCCTACAAAATCAGTCACGCAGGATGGCGTCGGAAAACAACTGGGTATATGTATTGATTGGTGGCAAGTATTTATATTCTATAACTATCTACAAGTATTACAAGGACATATAGCAGAAATATTAAAAACAAGATTATTTAGAGAAGAGGGAATAAGAGCATATCAATGCCGCCATCTTTAATTATTTGTAGAATAATTCTTCAGATAAAATCTTCATTCCGACAGGAGTTCTTTTTTATAAATTTATATCTTTTCCCTTTCCATTGCAAAAGCTCATTCTTACATTTCAATTGCAGCTTGTCTCCTTTTAAGCCTAGTCGTTAATACATCTGGAAAATCGGCAAATGATGACAACCTGACGCCAACCTCTATAAGAAAGGCAAGATCAGCTCTGCCGCAATATCCGAAGCAGTATCCACCGAACCATCTACCAAAGTATCCAAGGTATCCTCCGGACGATGACGAAATAATTCCGCAATACGATCCACCACAAATCGAAATAGTTGTATTTTCACAGCCTATAAAAGTACACGAGAAGGCCGGTCAATAACAACAACATGTTATGGCCGATGTACCTTCGTACTAACTGTAAAAAAAATTAACAGTGTTTTCACCAACTTAATTTTGAAAGAGCGACAAGTTGAATACCAAACAATGGAATTTTTGCAAAACCGCAAGAAATTTATTAGAGTTTACATAATCATCTATGACACAACACATATATATGTAATTTAACATGTAAATATATTTTGGGAGTTGGAAAAATTATTAAATCATTACATAAAGCAGTATTTCCTTATTTCCATTTCACATAAATTTGTAAGTAGTTTTAGTAGCTTTTTTACCTAACACGGTCCACTTTTCTTGATAACATGATCTTAGGCAAATAAAACCCTGCTTTCATTATTAGATAATTTCCGACCGAATGGGCCATTTCCATCACACAGGGAAGAAAATAGAGCAGCTGTAGCTAATAGTGTACACGAAGACCGTGCAAAGTCAATTCGGCGCCGTTCCCAGCTACTCGGACTGACGTATGGAACGACTTAGTGCATTTCGCGTAGAGATCTTAAGTTGGAAGCGTACAAAATACAACTGGCACCACTTTCCACATATGGTACTAATGAATAGATTTATTGAGAGAACATTTCGGTGAGCAGATAATTTAACGTTTCGGACCGGTCGATTGGCCAACAAGACCGTGTGATATTACACCTTTAAACTTTTTTGCTGTAGAGATAGTATGTAATGTCAAAGTCAAGTCAAGTACCAGTCGAAATGCTCGAACGAGTCATCAAAAATTAGAATCAGCGGATGGACCATCTGCGACAGAGCCAACATTTATTCAAAAAATAAATTCCAAAGAATATTATTTCAAATGATAATTTACATTCTCCTTTTAATTCGAAATTTGGTTTGAAAATTATTTTTATTTATTTTAAAGTACAAACTGTATGAAAATAATTAAAAATTCGGGACCAATTCACTTTTGCTCGATATGACCACCTTTTGCCTTAACTATGGCCTTGAGACGATCAAAAACGAATCGCAAGCTGCCCGAATGTGACTTGCTCGTATTTTTTGCCACTCACTTACTACGGCTTTCTTCAGCATCTCGAAACTGGATATTTTTTACTTCGGACGTTGCTCTTCAAAACGGCAGAGAGAGAATAATCCATTGGATTCGCATCTGGTGAATTCGAGGGCCATTGTGTGGTCGTAATGAAATTCGGAACGTGGTTTTTCAGCCATTCTTGGTTCACTCACGCTTTGTGAGACGGTGCTGAGTCTTGTTGAAACGTCCATGATTTGCGACCGAAACTTTTGTTTGCCCATGTTTCAAAGCAGCCTTCATAACACTTTCCCGATAATATGTTGCATTTACTTCGACGCCGGGCGCGATGAAAACAATTGGATAGCGCCCATCTGCGGTGACAGCGGCCCAAACCATTATTTGTGGCGGGTGCTGCTTCCTGGTGGCCAACCGATGACTTAGAATGGTCGGTCAAGTAAACCCTACCGTTTTGAGAGTTTACGAGTTGCTCAATTGAAAACATTTTTTTTTTTGTCAGAAAACACAATGTTCGGAATTTGACCGTTTTCGGCCAAGCGAAGCTACTGCTTTGCTCTCTCAAGTCTTACTTCTGGCTGCTTCGGTATGAGATCATGGGCCTTTTGGAACTTGTAAGGCTTGACCTTGAGCTCATCTTTCAATATGCGTCGGATGCTGCGATCGGATCTTTTCAGTTCCTTAGCCATTTGTTTGGCACTTCGTTGTGAAGTTAAATAAAAGTTAAAAAACTTTTTGATAAATTTGCTGCTGATCAGCGATTCCCAAACCAGGAAAATATATTTAAAATTAAAATTTCGAATAATGTACTAGACACAGTAACTAACTCAATTAGATACACGTTTTATTGGTGTGAGTGCAGTTTGTCATAAATTCGATTTTGTAACTTTTTTTTTAATTTCTATTGCATGCTGATAAAGCAATTTTATTAAAAAAGTGTGACGAATTCCAAAGAAAATATTCTGATATAATAGACCCTAGTTTTTCACTTAAATTCATTATTATTTACCACCTAGTTGCACTACGACTAACTCAAGCATGCACTGTTCACCAATTATGTAAGGAAATAACGAAGAAAATATATAACGGAAGCCATGTGATTATTCTTTAAAATCTCTGCCACTTCTGCAGCAGTTGGAGGGTTTTAAACGAAGATTTAAACGAAGTCATTTATACTTGTACAAAAACTAAAGCATACATAATATACTCTGAACCTTCTATTTTTTGTTTAAGGGCATCTACTCCGCTTCATTATCCTACATCATGTTTTTGCATATAAGGCATGATTTCGCAATAAAAATAGTAGAGATTTTTCTAATTGGTCCAAAAGACCATTCCCAGCATAGTCGATTTGCGAATTCCGGTTGGGTTAAATCGGGTCGGCTCTTGAGTATTGTACCAATGTTTCTTTTGATTCTTTAACCCTACCAGATTAACAAAAACAAGTCAAAAAACTCGAAACCAGAAGGCATATTCTGATACAACTCTTAAAGAAACACATTCCCCGAGAGCTCTGAGCTATATAGCCTAAGCTGGTCAGAGTCCAATAGAGAAACAACTATTGCCAGCAGCATTGATGATCTAAAATGCTTTCAACAGCTATCGGTGCAGTCGAATGTAGATAATCTTTTAGATCTTTAAAGCAAACCATATGATCCAGTTGTTTTTTCTTTTCTTCGTTCTTTAACACTAATTCGTGATACCAAGTGCAGCTAAGTTCTTCTCCACCTGATCTCCGCAATGAAGTGGAGACCTTCCTCTCGCTCTGCTTCCACCGGCGGGTACTAAAACACAAGCCTTCAAAGCCAAATTGCCCTCTTGCACCCTAACAACATGACTTAGTCAGCGCAGAAGATTCAAACATTTCGAACATTTGGGTAGCTTTGTCTTTCCCTATTAGTTAAATAATTATTTATAAATTGAAGCTACAGTTTCAAATACATAAAAAAATTGTTCTTGTACTTTTATCTGCTTTTGTATACTGCTCATTACTTTATTTTTATCTATCCATGTATGCCCTCATCCTTCTGGCATTCAAGTTGGCTTGTGAAGTTTCTACAAATATATTTGATATATTTTCATTTATCCCAAGATTGTCCTTTAGTTCTTCCAAAAGAATTTGAATTAATCCCTCAATTCCTTCACGATCTATATCCATTAATGGACACCTGCTTTCACTTTCAGGATTTTGCCTTTCCTTATCATCAAATGCCAACTCGGCCAGCAAATCGGTGATCAATGCTTTTATTGCATCGGTATCTCTTGGATTAGCGATTTGGAATATCGGCAGAGATGATCTTGCTGAAATTAGAGGAGCTTGCACCGCATTGTCGCAACTCACAGATTGCGCATGAGATCTTCTAAACAGGCTTGTGACTATAAAAGCTACCCAAATATTGTAAGAATAGAATAATTGATAAGTTTTAGTTCTCTGAAATATCATTTGCTATGTTTATGAAATATGGTCCCTACCTTCAACGATTAGATATACGTACTTTGGCCACATCTTGTTTATATGATTGAATAAACTGAAAAGCCCTTCCTGCGGTGACATGAGAAGTTTGTTCGAGAGTAAAAATAGAATAGTCTAAATAACGCCTATATTTGCGAACTGAGTACTTTTATATGCTTCATGCTGTCAAGAAAGTGTTCAAAGTTTACGAACAGAAGCGTGTAGTTGCATATCAATAAGTAAAAATTTTTCGCATGAAATGCAAATATACATTGACTCGATTAGTTAGTTGCTAATTAGATATACCTATAATATTGTATATTTTACATTCTTGAACACAGTTAGATAAAACAGCACCGTACAACTATTTTTCAATCGCATTTGCCATTTGCGATATTTGATTTACCTATCCCTCTATTTATATAATGTAAATTCTGTATAATAGATTGTCAATATCTCCCTTCCGCTTTATTCAATGCTTTATAAAAGGTGTTACAGTGATCGGATTTAGTTCAAATATGCGCTGTTTCGTGCGATAATCTGTTTCCATTTAGATGGCAGCTTCATAATACGCCCCTCGAAAAAGCCACCCTCCTTATTTGCGAAGAACTCGGACAGTCACTTAACACAAGCCTCTTTTGAGTTCAACTTTGCACCTACAGGGGCGTTCGCCATGAACGGGAACAGGTGGTAATTATTTAGCGCTATGTCCAGGCTATATGGTGAAAGCGATAAAATCTCCAATCCGAGCTCCCTTAACTTCTGACAAGGCATCAACGAAGTGTATGGTCTGGCGTTGTACTGGTGGAGCACTACACCCTTCCGGTTGGCCAATTTTGAACGCTTCTGGTCTATCGCCTGCTTCAAGCGGTCCAGTTGTTCGCAGTAGATGGTGGAATTGAGCGTCTAGCCATACGGGAGCAGCTCATAGTGGATGATTCCCTTGTAATCCCACCAAACATACAGCCAAACCTTTCTGGCCGCCAATCCCGGCTTGTCCACTGTTTGAGACGATTCACAGGCCTTCGAACACGACCGTTTCCGCTTGATATGTTGTTTGTGTGATCCATTTTTTGTCGCCAGTCATCATCCGCTTCAAAAATGGCTCGAGTTCGTTCCGTTTCAGCAGCACATCGCAGACGTTGATTCGGTCCAGAATGCACCCAAACATCAAGCTTTTTTGTGTATCCAGCCTTCGGCAGATGGTTTGGTGACTAACTCCCATCTTCTGGTCGAGATCACGAAATGCAACATGCCAGTCTAACTCGAAGTTTTCCTTGATTTGATCGCTTCATTAGAGGACTAAAGATTGCTTGAGAAGATTGTAATTTAAGTTGAAGTCGAGGAAAAATTATTACAGCTTTTGACGTATCCTTTATTCAAACAAGGCAATAAACAGCTCTTTTCACTATTTGTTGAAGCTATGGCAAGAGAGAGTTCGGAGTACAGTTCTTCCTAACAAATTAGTACTACTGACTTTTGCGCTCATCAGATTTAAATACCTTCGAGCAGCAAAACCTGTACTTTGTTATATTTTTTATAGCTTGAACTTATCGCAAGTCTCATATATATCTTATATATAAATCTTACACAATTTGTGAATATCTGTCACATATGATCCTGATGCAAATTGAAATTATCTGCGTGTAAACTAAAACAATTAATATGTACTTGCACGATCTTCGCTTTCAACAATACCTCATTGTAAAATCAATTATTCTATTGTGGTTTTAACGCGTATTTTATCTCCCGATTGGTACTATAAAAGAACGTGCGCAGTTTTGTCAATATTCAGTTTACGCAAAGGTGTCTTCAATCGTTTTCAAGTTCCGATTACATTTCTAGAAGGATGTTGCAGAAAAAAATTTTAGTTGTCATGCTCGTTGGTAAGCAAGCTTATCTATACTTTTTCATCCTAAATCCATAAAATGTTTATACATTACAGTGCTTTTAATCGCCTGCGAACTGCCAGATAGCGCTGCTAGTAAAAAATGTCAAAAGCCTGCAGGGAATGATGATCCCAGCGAATACCACAGCGCATCTGAAGGAGTTTTAGATGATGAGTCTGTTCCAAGGCGTAGTCCAGGCATTCACGATTGAGGTTTGGGTAAAAGAGTCACACCTCAGCAATTGCAAATTTAAAAATTATATTCAAATATGTCAATATGTTTGTGTAAAATACCAAACAAGCATTAAATAAAAATAAATACAAATTGCATGCAAAAAAAAATATCGGAATATAAATGAATTTAATCTCCTTCAAAACAGTTATTACAATTTATGTAAGGCCCTAAGAAAAGTGAAAGCACTGTTGCTTCCAAAACTACTCAATTTTTTTCGAAAATCAGCGTCGCGCTAACGTCCTTAAAACATGCTTTCCGACTACCGAGATGTCATGAAAAAATTAGTCTAGGATTTATGCTTTCAACCGGAAACAGACGATTAATACACCTAATGTCATGGCAAAGGTAAGGCGAAAAAACACATCAAATTAGGTCAAAAATCAAGGCTATGTTCACAGTTTTTTTGGATTATCGGGGCCAAATATGTCAAATATGAGCGCGATCTGTCAACAAGTTTATTTACAACAGCTGTTTATGTCGGTACATCACAGTAGTGCATTGCGATTTTTACAATGGATAAAAATATCGAACAAAAAATTTGTCTGACCAAATTTCGTATGCGGAATTTACTGTGATTCAGTTTTATCAAAAACACAAGTCTACAAGTGGTACCAAGCCTTCAAAGTGGATCGAGAGATCAATTTTGAGCACGAGCAAAATCGTTGACATAAGTGTATTATATTTGGTGGGGATTACATTGAAGGCGACCAACTAAATATTTATGAATAATGAAATATTTTGCGTTTTATTGGCAATTTCCGGGTGCCTTCTTGTTACAATCTATGTAAGAATTGCGTCCACATTTAATCGGGTTCCACTCAGTCATAATCGATAAATATGTAAATGTGCAATATTTCCTTAGAACTACAAGGTAAGTTCCAAAGTAGAGAATTTTTGAAACCAACGCTCCCCCCTGTCAACTGGTGCGTTAGAATCTACTATATTTATCGATTTTGCTCAGTGAGAATTTCATGACAACCCATGGATTAGAAGGGAAGTTATTGCGTTTTAAGGTTAGTATGTTTGTGTTATCGGTGCAAAACTAAACTTCGAACAAAGAGACAACATTAAATTTTTATGGCGGTGATTGCCTATCCCGTAGCAGAGTGCACGAATGGTTGGGTCAAACGTTTTCAAAGTGGTCGTGAGGACATAAATGACGATCAACATGTGGGCCAATCAAAATCCGTGATCACCGGAAATTCCATCGAAACTGTGCGTGAATTCATCGAAAATCAGCCGAAATCATCATGGAAATTTATGGAAATGGAATTGAACAGCTCCAAAACATCGATTTATCGCATTTTGACTCAACATTTGTACTTACGAAAGGTGTGTGCACGGTTTGTACCGCACAAATTGACTGACGACCGAAAATTACTCAGAATACCACATTAGAAGGACGATTATTTGAACAAAAATCACATTTTAACCATTAACCACTCCCCGTATTCACCTGATATGGCACCGTACCCATCAAAGGAAAGCGTTATACAGACGTAGAGACCATTCAAAAGGCTTGCACCGGCATCCTGGCGGCCATACCTGCCAACAAGATAAATCACTCGTTTGACATCCTTTTGGACCGTGCAGCAGAAGGAGACTATTTTTAATAAAATAAATGGATTTTGCCGAAAAACCCATTTGTTCTGTTTTTTTGTTTTTTTTTTTTCAAGTCCTGCTTATAGCTGAAAGTGTACATGAAGACCGTGGACGGTCGATTCGGCGCCGTTTACAGTAACTCGGACTAACATATGGAACGACTTGCCGCTTATAAATTGAAAACAAACAAAATACAGCTTACAGAAGCCACTTGACTTTTCAAAAAAAAAATTTTGCTCAAAGGGTGCAAATAAGAAAAATTTAAACATTTAGAAGGAAGGGCAACCTGAACAGATTCAAAATCTGCCACTTCATCCAGAAAAAACTATGGTTTAGTGTGGTTTATTTCTACAAATATACGACCAATAAGAACATATCCTTCAATAACAACCGTTAATGCGCCATCATAACCGACTATTTGAGCCTGTAATTGAAGCTTGTGATATCGGCGACATTTAGTTTCAACACACGTCGCGTCAATCAAAGTTTTTATTGGGGGAAGAATTCGTTGATCAGATAATTTCACGTTTCGGGCCGGTGAATTTTCCACCGAGATCGTGTGATACCACACCTTGATACTTTTGTTTGTAGGGTATATAAGGTCTGAAGTTTATGCCAACAATCCCACTTCGATTCAGGTCTTGGAACAAAACATCACGCATGTCATTCGCCAGTCGCAAGCCGAAATGACGAGTCTTCGAAAATTGAGCTCAACGGATGAAACACCTGAGACGTAGCCGTGGCCATCATTTGAAAGAGATAATCTACAAATCATAAATGGCAAAAAATGATCTTTTGAATGTTAATAAGCATTAGATTAGATTGACAGCAAGCTAAGAAAAAAAAATTTTTTTTTTATTCGTTTTACAAATATATTGTATAAGAAACAAATATACAAGATATATAATTTTAGTATTTGAAAATTAACTTTTTCTTGGATCACTTGACACACCTATAGCAGTACTAGAGAGACCGCATATCCATTCATCATTTGACTGTTCTTCATAATTTTTCAGGGATACATGTTGGGGGGGGTTCTGTGCCATCTTTTGACTTTTCTGCAACATTTTCGGTAGTTGTTGTGGTATTATCATCATGGGCCATATTTTCACCGCCTATTTTCCGATCAAGAGGATAACCAGAGCTTGTGGACAATTGGTTCACAATCAGAAAACCTAAAATAATTAAAAGCAAATTCGTTATTCGGCACATACAGGTAGCATGGATAACTGCTGTGATGGGATGCTCTTCTCATGATATCTCAAACACTGTCTGGCTATGTGAATACCACAATTCGAAAATCGTGTACTGATGTTTCCATATGACAGTTTTCGTATTGGTTATAAATTAATTATTAATGTCATGCAAAAAGAGCGAAGTGAGCAATATGCGGCAACGTTTCTATGGCGTTTCCTGAAATTTTGGAGCAACATATTCTTAAAATCAGCTATACTCACTAACGAGCATGAAAATTAAATAACTCTTGGGCAACATCCTTAAAAAAGTATATTAGCAACTCGAAAACGGCCGAAACCACCTTTAATTTCACTGAAGATTAATCAAATATACCACATGCTTATATAGCAGCAGCAGTGAGATTGCAACACCCATTAAGACAATAATGGAAGAACTTAATTTGAATTCAACTATTGTTCTTAGCGTAGAACGTGCAGTTACATGTTAATGGTCTTAGATGAACAGAATCCAATCAATTCATGCAAATGCGGTTTTATACTAATTTTCTCAAATTTTTTTAATATTTTGAAAAGTATTGACGGGAAAGTATTTAACTTTGTTTGAACACTAGCTTGACTTTAGAATTAGAGTCAAATAGTAGAAATCACGAGGACAAAAACTTTCCATTCCAATATCATTACCACTGCATCCCAAGTAGCTGACGCATTTTAAAAGCGGCATTCGATTGCCTTATGCTTCCCAACTTTTATGTACATTAGGTTAGGTTAAAAAATCGATACTCACAAGAACAGCATAGAACGTCGATCTGCTTTTGCAACTAAAACTCCTATTTAACTGATTACAAGATCCTCGACCCGCGCTTTGAATTTATCACAAATTTGTTGAGACGAGATGTTGCAAACTCAGTCTTACAAAGGCTAAACATTGGAGGCCTGGAGGCTGGAGGATGTGCCCCTACGATTACGATATCATGAGCTTTGCTAAGGTCAAGTAGTTAAGTAGATCACTTGTTCTAATCTAAATTGATGTTGCAGTCGCATAAGAGTTGGTCGTCGTCCGGTGATGAAGTAACCTAATGCTATTACGGTCGAGTTCAGATAATCCTTCATTAGTTTTGGATTTTGGAGCTCAATGTGGAAGCATTCGCCACCCTAAAAGAGCCTGTTCTGCATAGCGGTGCTTAGCCACTTCTGCCTTAAAAATACTAAATTGGTTCGGTAGCCTAAAGCCATGATTATCGAAGCGCTTCTTATAGCAAACACTCTACCAAACTTTCATCCCGGCTGCGAACCATCAGCAAAAAAAAATCAGTACGTCTCTTCTCCAGCGAATGCTTACCATCGACGTATCCCTCGTCGGTATGTATATGAACAGAGGAAGGCCGCAATGAGTAGTCTTTATAGCGAAGTGATCCAAGTTCTCAGCAATTAGATTGAGGAAGAGTTTTTCAGTTGCCAGATCCTTTGTTGTATATGAGATCAATTTATTCAGACTGAAATTTGTTGACTTGTCGCTCTCTGCTATTTTTTTAAGAGCTGAAATACTTAGCTGAATACTTAGATCAGCTCTCTCGTTCTTACAATGAATTTCTTTACTTAAGATTTAAGACTTTAGATTAATTTCAAGAAAGACTGGGTACTGAATATATTTTGTATTCGCATCCGGATAGCTTTCTAGCAACCTTTAAACGGCAACTAAAAAAAATTGTGCTTGCCTACAAATTTAGCCGACTCTCGACGTTGAGCGCTATGTGACTTTCCAAAACGAACTGACTATTTTGGAAAAAGTTCTCTAGGAGAAGGTTTAACAAGAATCAGTGAGCATCAATTAGTTGCGCTTCATGGATCTTTATTACCATTTCGATTACTACCTTACATGTTCACAAAAATATTGAATATATTTATAAATCATTTTATGTATCAATATATTTCAAAGCTGTAATAGGAAATGTTTTTAAGTAATGTTACACTTATTCAGCATTTATTTATTTTGAGCTGATATTGTATCTGAGTTCTTTAAGAGCTTTTGCCCGCCAAATTTGACTTTTCTAGTTTTAACCAGATGGTTTTCGGTCCATCCGGCATTTCTACCAATGTCGCTATTTCCTCCAATACCTTTGTAAATACAAGCTTTCTGTCGCTGTTGGCAGCTCCGCCCTTAGTATTTAGGTTTTCGAACTCATTTGCTGTACTAGAATCATCGGAGAGGTCATCGTTGGCAATACGTTGGGAAGTGAAGGCTTCATTTGGTATTTCGCAAACGATTAGGAAAACTAAAATATAGAAAAAACATTATGCAACAACTTATTATTATATCACTTACTATAAATGGTATTAGTAAAATAATAAATAAATGCGTTTGAGAGGCTGGCACATCAACGACTTCTCGTCTTACTTAGACTTAAGAACTTAGGACTCTATATGTTTTTTTTTTTATTACCGTAGCAATCAACCAAAATAAGTTAGCAGCATCAGTTTTATTTTCTGTATAGCGAACTTTGAAACTTCAGCACTTACCAAGGAACAAATAACAGCCAGCATATTTCGGGAACATCCTCGATGTAGTGCGGTAAAAAGATGCTGAAATGGCAGGCTAGCTCCCAAGTACATATGACTATCACTAAAGCTCCATAAAACTTTGATACGGCTTATATAGTGCAATCTTGAAAACCTCAGTATCCATTATTAGAGACAATAGAAAGATTTACATTAAAATTTTCCATTGTTCTAAGCGGAGAACATGGATTAACATACTAATTGAAAAGAAATAACGTAATCAAGCGCAGCCGAAACTTATGCATAATACTAATACATTGTCTCTATGCGTTTTACAACAGCTTGGTGGGCTTCAGAAGAGCTAAGCGAGCATAATTCAACCCTTGCGCTTTGGCAAGCTGCTTCTGACTCACGGTTAATTGGTTCATCTTACTTTCTTCTTCTTTATTGGCGGAGATAACACTAACATGAGTTTATAGCCGAGTTTAAAACAGCGTGCCATTCCTTATTCCTTTTCGCTGTTTGGTACCAATTGATGGACCTGAGGTCTTCCTCTTCTTCTGCTTTCCTCGGCTCCCTCGAACACTCTCAGAGCTGAAGTGGGTTTATCCATTCGGACGACATCGAACGGCTCGGAGTGCTCCTTCCGATCCTAACGGGGTTTTTGGGGTAGTTGACGCAGATTGTGAGGTATCTTTTTTGTGGATTTAAATTCCAATCAGTTTTCCGCCACCATATTTGAATAGCTGGGCCGGCAATCCAGCGGCCCTTGCCGATTTCTTCTTCTTCAAACGGCTATTCGAATTTATTCATTGTCAGTCAATGGAACGTCCACTTCATCGTCATCGATTGGATAATCCGGTTCATCAGCTCCTGGTGTTATGCTTTCACTGGCATTCAGAAGGCTGGAAAAGTATTCCCTCCATCCTAATGTCAGTATTTTGTGTCAGTCACTAGATCACCTCTGGGAGTATAACACATTCTTGAAACCTAGTCACTACATCTCTTCGTAGAATTTTAGAGCATTGCCCCTGTCGTGCAGCACAGCATACTCACGCATTTCGGTTTCTCTTTTTGTTTTTGGTTTTTTTTCTCTACAAATGTCGCTTCCCTCTAATACTTCCATTTAGTTATAATAGTATCCAGTAGGTATGATAAAAATTCTTAAAGGATCAGCTAAATCGTTTAAAAATAAATGTATATATATATTTTACTAATCCCCTTTCAATTGTTGAAGAGTATTTCTGTACTTGTGAATACAATAGCCCTTCGACTAATGATGGACTCCATTTTTCATTGAGTTCCCATGCTCTTTGAATCCATATACTTTAACTGGCTTATTTTTTTGCCAGGTTCGATAAAAATTCTAAAGAAAAGGTTTATATTTGGTCTTAATAAATGTCATTGGTCACTGCTGTACTAAATATGGTGTTCCTAAATATAATAGTTCATTGCTGCACTATATGTTGTAATTGCCAAATTAATGCAGACCGATATTGTGGCTCAGCAATATTCTTAGCAAATTGTGGCTGCCTATGCCGCTTCCTTATGCCTTATACTGAAATATTGTTTGTATGGAACACTCCAAAGGCTAGTAAAGACAAACACAAAGGAAAACAAGGATCAAGGTTCCACTAACTCATATGAAGTCTATTTCTAAAAACGTATAAAGGAAATTGTAATTAAATATTTTCGAGTAAGTGATTCGACCTCTTCAACTGTTGAAAATATTAAAAAAAAAGTGAAGGATAAGGTACTTTTAAACCGTCAGGCAAGTGTTAGAGAGATGGCAAGAGAGCTTGACATATCTCAGGAGTTCGTCCGAATGATTTTGGTGGATATTTTGGATATGAAACTCCACAAAAAAATTTTTTTGGACATGCTTGTTTGTACGAATTCCAATCCTACATTCGTGGAAAGCATTAAAATTGCCGATGAGACATCGGTTTATGAGTTTGACATGCAAACAAGTCAACAATCATCGGAATGAAGGGAAAAATTAGCCAAAACCAAAAAAGAACACGACAAAGTCGCTAAAAAATCAAGGTGATGCTTAGGGTTATTTTCGAAATTCGTGGTTTGGTCTATCATGAATTTGTTCCGGAGGGACAGACGTATAACAAGAAGTTCTATTTAGCCATACTGAAGCGCTTTGAAACATCCAACGAAAAGGGTCGGAATTGTGGAAGCACAATTCATGGATTTTACACGACGATAATGCGCCATCGCATTGGGTCACGATTGTGACCGAATTTAAAGCCAACAACGCAGTGAATACCATCGATCAATCACCGTATTTAACATATTTCTCTCCGAGTGATTTGGCATAAGTATATTACAGCTCGCGGAGATTACTTCGAAGGCGAAGAAATAAATATTTTGCGCTTTATTTACGATTTTCTGGTACTTTTTGCCACAATTCAGTTTTTACGACCATCAAAATTAAAACAAACGAGTAGTCGCTTTTTGCTTGACACAAAAATATACATAATTTTTATTAAAATATTACTATAATTGTATAAACTTATGTTTCTTTGGGCGCACTCTTCTGTATTTTAAGCCATATATATTCTGGTCCACTTTCCATTGCTATATATTGGGCAAGCATAAGCAATATTCTTCTAAAGTTCGGTGTCATAGAGTCACTCTCGTCTTCCATTGTCGCCGGATGCATAAATTCTCTTACTATATCATCACTTGAAATCGCTTCACCGGCAATAATTCTATCTTCATCATGCACAAATTGTACATCCTTGGTACACTGTGTTTCCTTAAGGACTTGACAGGCTGAAATACATATTTTTTATTTAAAAATTTAATTTAAAATATGAAAAACAGTTAACTTCGATTGCACCGTAGTTCTAATACACTTCACAAATAAAAAAAAGTTAACATACTTGATGGACGGACATGGCTAAATTAATTCAGTTCATCAAGCTTATCATTTATATATATTTTTGCATTTATTATTGATTCGTGCGACTTCCTCAATCTATTGCTGGAGAAAATAATACGAGCTGCCGAGCTAACTAGAGCAGGTACAATATTTTATTAGAATATAGAGCCTGTATCTCCCGCCGTCAAACAAACAATCATCGCACTCGCGACTTGGCTCACACGCCATTACTAACAGTCATAACTTCTAAGTCGTAGATAATTTCATCTATCTTGGAAATAGCATTAACCCCAAGAACAACGTCAGCATCGATATCGAATTTCATCTCTCGACGAACAAAGACCAAATTCTACAAGTCACTCAGCTATATGATGCAGCGGTAAACGATATTCACATAATTCAGCGAATTAAGAGACAATGTCGTCCGAACGTATGAAAATATTCCAGCTCTAAAAGTATGCGACGCAGTACCCGGCGCGGGAAGCAGGGAAAGAAGAAGGCCTCCACTCCATTGGACCAGGTGGAAAAAGACCTGTCTATACTTAGAATCTGTATTGTTAACTCGCTGTCTATGCTAATAAAAAAAAGGAAAATATATATAATTCCTTCAATGATGTTTCCTTCTGCGTGTTATATATTTCGTGGCAATCTTAAAATACCCTGTTGAGGGTACGAAAAATATTCGACTGTCGCTCCTAACATGGTAAATCTCTCGGCCTTGCGTACACTCATGTTCCATACAAGCTTTGTTTCTCTAGTTCTAAGTTTCTTACCAGATCTTAATAGTATTATATTTAATAAGATTGTGTTATGTTAAGTTACATTATGTTAAATTATATTATTTCATTACAAAAAAAAAAATTTATTCTAAGTGACTTACCAACTATTAACAGTGTTAGGAAGATATTCTTTGTCAACATCCTGTAACTTCTGACTATAATATAAAATTTTTAATGCGTTGTGGGGAACGTCGCTAGACCAGACTTAAATTGTAACAGTAAGCTATAGCGCCCTCAATAAGGTTTTATATAGCATCCGTTTGATAATGTAAGACACATTATAAAATGAAACTCAATTCACCATTTGTTCTTGAAGACAAAAGTTGGGTATTTGCATTTAGATTGAGTAACGTGTTGAGACATAAAATTGAGAATCATACACAGTTCAGCGTATGTATGTATGAAATTCATAAAAATATAAAACTCTCGGATCAATTATACCGAAATCTGGTACTACTTTTCATGTAAGGTAGATCCATCTGCCAAAGCTGACAACATACCATCATATTAGTAATCATAAAGGAGCCATTGAAAGATAAGATAAAGTATTTTGAGCTTACCGTACATTTGTTAAGACCACTGCGCTAATTTCACTGAAGGTTTGTCTACCGAGGAAAGGAAAGAGTAGGTAATTCGGGGGACGTCGAGCCTAACGATTTCAGAGCAGGTTCGTAGGTTAAAAAGCTCATTACACATCTTCCCGATCCGTTTTGCATCGCCCAAAAATCATTCGCATAAAATATTATTGGCTACGATTTCTTAGAGCCAGACACAGCTTTTGGTGAAAGGCGTCACCCCTTAACAATTGCTCCTTTATTACAGTATTAGACGATGGATACCTACTTCACTTTTTCCTCAATGTTTGGTTTCTATAAGAGCTTGCTATCAAGAATAATCCAAAGTGCTTTACGCCGTCCACCGTTTGAAGAAATGAGGCCCTCAACGGAGGGAGAGTAACATAAGGAATTTTCATCTCCTAGTAAATAAAGCAAGCTCAGTTCTATTTGGCCTTATGGCCAATCCATTTCTATCTGCCCACTTTACATACCCTTGGGAGGGATCGTAAACAGTGTTTATTAATATTGCTGGTCTCGGAAGAACTACATTGTTCTCATTCCCCTAGTTCGAAAGCTCTTTCAACACTGGGATCCTGAGTAAAGAGTGAAGTACTCTAGATTGTGAGTAGAATAGAATAGAATAGAATGTTATTTGAGGTAATGCACCGCGACCTAAGGTCTATTGTGCCCTCTGCTATATCACATGACCTCCCAGAGCCCCAGCAGCCTGAATAGTTCTGGGAGTTTGCCGGGCGCTAGTGAGGTGATGTCATCCCTGCTGATGTAAGCAGAATCCAGTGCCTTAAGCCTTTTTCCACAGATTGCTGAGCAATCCAGGATTAGGTGTGCTGGTGTTTCCTGTTCCAGGTCGCAGAATCGGCAGTTRGCACAGGAGACCATRCCCATGTTGGACAGGTGCTTCCTGAGCTTACAGTGCCCTGTGTAGATTRCGACGAGGAGGCGGAATTTTTCACGGGGGAGGTGAATTAGTTCTTTAACCATTTTAACCATTGCGAGTAACTCTTATTTACTTTCCGAAGTGCCGATGTACTTCCCCAATTCACCACAACCATTTTTCGCAAATGGGACTATGGATGCTGGAGATTAGCTTCGATCATAAACTAATTAGAGCTCCAATAATCGCCTGTGGACATACATATGTTACGTGAAAACCACTTTCTATGAGGAAACGGTAAGACTACTTAGATTAATTAAGTTCTAGATCTCAATTAATCAGAAGTCTTTATGAAAGATCTAACTTTTATGTTGTAAGCTCTTCGGTGTAATCATCGGTCCATATTTCTTCAAAAATTATGGCGTTGAGTTATGCCATGTTAACCGACTATTTGCAGCCTGAAATTGAAGCTCGTAATCTCGTCGACACTTGATTTCATTAAGACAGCGCCACTTCCCATACATCGCATCAATCAATGACTTATTGAGAGAACACGTCTTTAACTAGCTTAGGTTTTATCCACAAAATATGTCATTAACTTGAGCGGGTATTGTTGTCATGTATTTGGGTCAAGCTCTTCAGTTTTATAAAAAAAATATCCTTTGTCAAATTTTACTTATTTTAGATACATAAAACATATTTCTACTACTTATAAATTTCAAGATCCACTTTTCATATAACTGCTTTGTCCGTTAAGTAGCTTCATCATTATTCACATGATAGCGGTGATTCACTCTCTGCTTCGTCCGACTCTTCATCTAAGGGAAGATCTTCTTCTGAGTCTTCTTCAGCAGGTGCTTCTGGCTCCTCATCCTCCTCACCAACTTCTTCATCTGCAGGTTCCTCTATCGAATTTGGCTCTTTATCTTCGTCGTCTTTTGGTAAAGCACTGGCGCTGGGCAATTCGTTGAACACAGCGAAAGCTTTATGAAAAAATATTACGTAATCATTAAGAAAATATAGAAACGAAACAATGTTTAAACTTTACCGCCAATTAGCAGACACAAACAAAGGAATTTCTTGAACATTTCGCTGACACAAGTGTTAACACAATAAAGTACTGTCTGTCATAGGCTTCCGAGCCGTGCTTTATATACGCCGTGTTGCAGTTACAGCCAATCAGTTTGGTTATAAAATGTGACTGATAATTTTAAACGTGATTTACTCTAATAGACAGCCATAAGTTGTAAGTACTTTTCTAACTAAAACACATAAACTATTCAGATAATAGATTAATGCATGCATGCTCTACATCTACAAACTGACAAACGTACCGTTAGCCGTTTGGCACACGCGCCTTCGTGTGCTAGGCTTTTGTAAGCGCTGTCTGATTCAGACTTGACTTTGCCGTGGGTTTTTCTGTTGAAAAATAATACATTATAAATTAATTTTCAGAACTCACTGCATTCCCAGGGTCAATGTACTGTGCAGTAAATTATTCTAGCAGACGTGAGATATGAAATTTTTGTGCAAGATTTCTATTCTGGCAGCTCTAGATGTCACACGACGTAACTGAGTTCTAGTAACTCTGTAGGTCCATTCCAAAATTGACGGCCAGTGGAGTGTTCTTAGTTATTAGTAGAAACACAGTCAAGTCTCCAAGTACATTTCAGTTCGTAAAACATCTCTATATGTTCTGTATTCTGCTGATAACTGATAACTGATTTCAAATAGTAATTTTCAAAGCAAAAGAGTCCTCATTAGAATTCAAAGTGTTTAAAACAGAGTAAATTTTAGCTTCAGGAACTCATTGATTAGAATATGTAACTTACCGCATATAACCAGATTCGCTCACTTCAATGCCTTTTTCCACAATAGCTTCACAGTTACTACCAAACTCACTTTCCAGATCTATTTGCTAATTAGTTATGATTCGATTCCGGTTGACAGGTTCGCTCCAATGCTCCACTGCTTCATTAATTCCTGTTTTCTCACAGGCCACTTTCAATACGGCCATCAGCAACAACCTTAAGGTACTTAAGAATCGACGATAACACTCAGATATCTTGCTGGCATATTTTGAATAACGGAAGGATCAGTAAAAACCATTTTGAAGGATCATTTGGATCTAAGTTAAAGCACTATTGGTTCCAAAATCACCCTTTTTTCGAAAAATAGCGTCGCGTTTACGTCTGTATAACAATGATTTCCGATTACCAGGATGAATGTATTACTACTGGCGATGCTTACATGCCGCAAAGTTAAGCTGATGCCGAAAAAACCAAGTCACAGCTGGTATTGACAGTTTTCCATCTTCTTTACGATGTGTGGTTCACTGCGTATTCCTTCTGACAGGCCAAACTATCAACAGAAAATACTATTTGAGTGTTATGCCTCGTTTGCCCGAAGCTTTTCGTAAAAATAGGGCGGAATTATGGGCCGACAACTCTTGGCTTTTACACCACTATAATACACGGTCGCATACTGCATTGATTCTTCGTGAGTATTTCGCAAAATTTTCAACCAATATCGTGCCTGATTTAGCTCCGTGTGAGTTCTGGCTATTCAGCAAATTCAAACGACCGCTCCGAGGAAACCGAGGTACCAATTGAAGACATGAAACGTATGTAAATCTCTACGCGCATTTGAGGCTTTTCCGGAAATTGACTTTTAAGAAACGCCAATTTTTTGCTAAAATATATATATGATATCAAAAATATAAATTTTACAAATGATGACGATATGTGGAAAAATTATGATACTGCTGTGGCTTCTGGGAGTTCTCCTCCTCTGAATATCTGCCCCGTACAACTGAATATCTAATAGATTTTGTATTTTTACAGAGATCCTATGCTTCCGCCGGTGCGTACTGCATCGAATATTCTTAGAGATTGAGTGTATTCTCCCATTAGGACGACATGGCCTAGCCAAAGTAACCGCTGTCTCTTAATTCGCTGAACTATGTTTAGGTACCATATAATATAATATAAATATGTGCAAAAGTGTGAAAAGTGCTATAAATTCTCCGTAAAAATTTTCTCTCGAAACCTCGTAACGCCTACTCATCAGCTGTTGCCGTCGTTCAGCCGTCAGCTGTGCCATACAGCCGGACGGAGATGATGAGTGACTTATAGAGTTTGGTCTTTGTGTCACACTGTGTCTTCGAAAATTTTCTACTGCTATTATTCCAATATCATCTATATATTTGTCAGAAGTTCTAAGGTAGATAGAACCTAACCTTTAGGTTCAATAGAAGAGATTATATAGCTTCTCATCAGGAAAAGTAATTTGTGGTTCTGATTTGAATAGCTTCGCTGCCTTCTCTGCTTTTCTGTTGCTTCGGCACGTACTTCTTATTGATTACTCCGTGAACAGCCTCATTTGTCATATGCTCGTTAAATATTAATGAAAGCTCAAATTGTAACCTTTTTGTTGGCGCACGCATTCCATAAGATGCCTAAGCTGTATTGGTTGACTTCAATTATATTTCTTAAAGGGTTATCGACGATCTTCTCCAATGGCTTTAAGGGGTTACATGGGTGTCCTCGGATTAAAAACAGCCATTTTTCAACGATTTTTTTCACACATCAAAAATTAAATATTTTATTAGAATTTTTTATTGTTACCAAAATAAAAAAAAATTGAAATTTTTGGAAAAAAAACATTTTGAACTCCACCAATGCGACGCCATTTCCAGTGACCTCTCGGAAAAAAGTTGCGACCGCGTTGGCAGGATTACTGCTTACGGGATCATCTACGGTGAAAAAATATGCTAACTTAGAACATGGACGAAGGAAGTATATTGGATTTTTGGTAAATATTTTTACAAAAAAAAATTAAAATTTCAGCGTAAATTTCGCGCCTTTTGTCAAATGGTTGCGCTCGAAAAAAAACCGCACTAGTTTCCAAAGTCGTATCTCCGAAACTATTACACAGATCAACTTGAAAATTTAAGACCATATTCTAGGGGAGTTGTAGAATTTAATAAAACCATAAAAAACATTTTTTTTTGAAATCCGTAAACCCACGTAACCCCTTAATAGGAAGGACATTAATTTTATTGAAGAATTTGGCTGTTGTATACTAAATCACGGATGTCAATTTTTGTTCATTAGGTATGATGTGAATTCATTGTAAGGCATTGCAAAAGAGCCGTTATGTCCTAAAAAACTCACTCCTTGGTGTGCTCTATGACTGCATCTCCTCAAACATTTAGGCGATCATGATGTTACAGTCAAGAAATTGGAGGAGATTGATATGGACGACCTTTGAATCCAACATGATGGCGCTATATGCCATATAACCAAAAGAAGTAATCAATTTATTGTAGGAAATCATTGGTAAAAGAATTATCAAGAATTGTGTGCCGGTGACACTCAACGGTCGTGCGATCTAACAGCGTTGTACAATTTTTTGTGGGATAAACTCGAGACGTTTGACGTCTTATGAGAGAATTTTCGGCGCGAGAGAGAATATTGATCGAAATAGAGCCACTCAACTGAAATTTATTCAAGTTAGCAGCGTCGTTGACTTACCCGAAAGCAATTTTAAAATATATTTGGAAACCCTTATTTTTATAATAAAAAACAGCATTTATTATATTTAATTCTATACAAAAGAGTATGCAGCAGATATTCATACTGGTGCTAGGCAAATAATATTGATTTTCGTAAGCTTAAAACTTATTATATGGTATGCTTATCTAATGCATTAATTCTCACCAAAACTATTGCAAATATTTTAATTAGCACTCTCCTTTAAAAAAAAAAGTGCCGAAAAGTATGCAACGCAAAGCTACCACACACATATTTACGTATATGCTAAATGCGCGATTGTTGGAATTTTGAAGCGAAATAGCGACGATCTGAATGGCTGTGTGTGTGTCACCACACGCGCACAATTACACACACACATACATATATACAATATATACATATATATATATATATACGACGCATCGACATGCATTGTGGCCATTGTGTTCAGCAAAACTATGCGTTACTGCGCTAACGACAATCAGCTGCACCCATGCTTATGTCGCTGTTGTTGCATTGTCGCCTGTCATTTTGACATTTGTTGCATTATAATTACTATGCATGTTGCCGCCGCTGTCGAAATTGTCGCCATCCATAATTAATGTTATTTGCATTGTTGCCATACCGCATACCTGCGTGAGTACGCACATTTTTGCACACTCAACTAAGTGTCGGTGTGTGAGTGTGTGTGCCTGGCTGTCTGTACGACATTGCTTTGGCTTATGTTATAGGTGTTATTTTTGTTGTTAGCCATACACCGCAAAACGCTCAGCAATTGCATGTAGATTAGTTGGCGGTATACAGACATGGACCCAGCAATTAAGGCCGAGTTGGCGTGCTTTTTCAGTAACGGTTCTCAGAACGAACGCTAGTACTTAAGCTCAGATCACACTTTCAACAGTGCAGGATATCATGGTATAATGACTTGAGTGTGATCCTCTCAGATCGCTGATGATGGTGTGATCCATTTCAGTAAATATGCTTCCTTTAAGTGAGACGAACTTCAATAAAACGGAAGATTCAAAGCTTTTGTGACAATTGGCGATACAAGATACAAATTCAAAAGTACAAGTCTTTTTTGGCGACATATTCTATATGAAATTGCACACCCAAATGGTTGCTGAAGCCAATATCTCCAATCAGATACTCCATAAACTCAAAAACACTCAAATTAGATTAAAACAAGTACTTGTTTGATATTACACTTTTCTGTTCTGTTATAGCAGATAGCAGAGGCTCTAAGCTCCGCCAAACCTTCATCTCTTTCGTTACTTTTATTAGACTCTCCCTGAACTGCTGAGCTCAATCGAATCTACCTCAATTAGCTGTGACCCTCATTGATGAATAAAATTGACTGGAATTTTAGTTTTTGACACAACTTCATCAACAACTAACTGTCTTCTTTAGATCCATGTTTAACAAATAATAACCTCCTAAGTAGCTTTGGTGCGATACTGCCTAATTCCCTGCTGGGCTAATTTATATTTTGGACATAGTTCTTCGAATGTGCAAATAGAAAATGCGCAAATTTTAATTGCATACTTTTGTTCGCTTAAAATTGTTATCTACAGTCAACGCTTTGAAATTGGGAAGCCGAAAATGAAGC